ATCTCCAAAGCAGCGCTCTGCGCCAAAATCCACGCCGAGCAGCAAGACATGGACCTGCAAGAAGAACGACACAAAAAGAAGACATCAGCACCGGAATTCGCGTTCCACACTCAGCGACGCTACAACAATAACAACAACCGGCAGCAACAACCGAAGCCAGTACCTCCGTTCTGCCACATCTGCAAAACTTCTGGACACCTGCGCACGCACCGCCCAAATCGTCAACAGTCAACAACTCCACAGCGGCAACTTCGACCTTCAAGCAGCCAAATCACCTCAACGCAAGCAAATCCCACGACTCAGATTCAAGCTTCAACGACCTCAACAGGACATCCTGCACAAGGAGCAAGAAACATCGTCAGCTGCATGGTAAAGCTGAGTGACTCCTGCATCACCGAGTCACCACCACACTACTCACCGGAAGAGCAACTCGACGAAACCACACCCCGCCGCGAGTCACTTCAGCCGAACCCGACATACGCCGCCATCGCCCAAAGCAAACCATCCGGAAGGGATACATGGTTCTTGGACAGCTGGTGCGGACAGCACATGTGCTCCTCAGGACGCTTCGTTCAACGAGAACACCAACTTCAACGCGAAGTTGTCATTACAGTCGCCAACAATCAGAACCTGCGAACACGACGACAAGGTGTAGTTCAACTTCAGTCAAGGGAAACAAACGTTGTACTGCAGATGTCAAAAGTACTGATCGCGGAGGGACTCGGCTACAACTTACTGAGCGTCAGTCAGCTAATGGCGAAGGGGATTCACCTCGAAGCAGACAGCATCACCCAAGAATTCAAGCTGTATCACGGGAGAGGAGGTCTCTACATCGGCAAGGCGGTCCTCAAGAACAACGTCTTCGTTCTTGACTTCGTTCCTGACCTTGGCACCGCCGACACCGACGCCATCGTTAACTTCACCAACTGGACACACCCTCCAGACCTTGATCCAGACTTCAGTCCAGAAGGCTTCTGGTATTCACACACCATCCCCGAAGCAGAAAGAACAAGGGCGTTAGCAACAATTCAGACAACATCGGCAGCAGCAAAGACAACATCGGCAGCAGCAGAAACAACATCGGCAGCAGCAGAGACAACATCGGCAGCAGCAGAAACAACATCGGCAGCAGCAGAGACAACATCGGCAGCAGCAGAGACAACATCGGCAGTAGCAGAACCATCAACGGCAGCAGCAAGAACGTCAACACCAATTGCTGGTCCTTCAACGACACCGCTCCTCATCGACGACACACCACCGACACCTGCGCAAAAACTACACCCAGCACCACGAGAAGTTCAACGTAGCGCCAACTTCACCGCCAACTTCTACTCCAACTCCGATATGTACCAACGATCACCCGGACATCGCGCCGACGAAAGCACCTGGCACGCAAGGATGGGACACCCAAGCAACACAATATTAAACAATACGATAAGAGCAGGAGTACTCGACAAGGACTCACTCCTACTGATCGACGGACGAGAACTTCAACGAGTACGCAGAACGTGCCTCACCTGCCCCGAAGGTGACTTACCACATCGACCGTTTACGTCTCATCACAACCCGAGCGCTCCCGCGTACGCACCACTCGAGAAGGTGTATAGCGACATCCTGTTCAATCGGGAACGAGGACAAGTAACATACAACTACACGATCACCTTCATCGACGCCGCCACCCGTTACGTCTGGCACCTAAACCTCCCTAGCCGCGACATGGCATTCGCACCCTTCGTTACCTGGCTACCAGTAGCAGAGAGAGAATCGGGCGTGAAGCTGAAAAGCTTCCAGACAGACGGAGGAGGAGAATACACCTCTCAGCGATTCACGCAGTACCTGGCGGAAAGGGGAATCAAGCGGCTCATCTCCCTTCCCTACTCCCATCAGCAGCAAGGCGTGCCAGAAAGAATGAACAGGACCTTGCAGAACAGCATGCGCAAACTGTTACGTGGCGTGCGGCTACCCAACCACCAGTGGCCTGCAGCAATGGACCACGGTGTCATGCTGCATAACTTGATGTCGTCATCATCGCTTCCGAAGAACGCATCACCGCATCTGCTATGGACACGGAAACAGGGCAGCACAAAAATGTTACGAGTATTCGGATGCATGGTACAGTACCGACCCTCAGCAGCACGAGCGGGCCGATTTTCTCAACGAGCACAGTGGGGACTACACCTGGGAATCGAAAAGAACTACAACACGTGGAAAAACTTTGACGTCCACTCCAAGGAAACAGTAGCAGCACGTGACGTAATTTTCTACGAACGACTCACGCTCCAGACATACCTTGCCAACCTGCAAGAAGACGAAGATCCCACAGGTGGTTTTCGTGGTGACCGAGCCTTCGCCTCAGCAGCGGACGAAGCTGTGTGGGACAAGCAGAATGTGGACAACGCATCACAAGAAGCCGGACCTCTTTCGTTCTGCTCCGTCGACGTTCCCATGGACGAAGACAACCTTCGCGAAAGTGCCAACGCCGAAACCTTCTACCATTTCGCCGACAACGGTTACGTAACACCTGCGACAGTCAACACCAACGAAGCAGAACGAGTAGGTTCGAACTTCATACCTGATCCAAAAGCGGGAGATGAAGCAGCTTATCCCGAGGACGTAAATCTTCCCCGCTACTCACAGAGTGGACTGCAGATTCTCGGACTCGTCACCGCAGTCCACGGCACCGCCACTCCTAAAGAGCCTGCAACGGTTCAACAGGCTCTGGGGGGGGAACATAAGGAAAAATGGCGCGAAGCCATGGACAAGGAGCTGAAGGCACTGGAGGAACGCAACATGTGGAAAGTGGTTCCTATCGGCGTGGCACTGAACAAGACAGTGCTCACCGGGAAGTGGGTCTTCCGTGTGAAGACAAAGGCTGACGGCACCATCGACAAATTTAAGGCACGCTGGGTCGTACGCGGCTTCGACCAAGAGCACGGACGAGACTTCACCGAAACTTTCGCTCGGTTAGCCGCCACACCTCACTACGCATTCTCCTCGCGATCGCCGCCATGAAGAAGAAGAAGAAGCTGCCGCAAATCGACGTCGCTAAGGCATTCCTCTACGCATCTGTTGACGCAAAGATCTTCGTCGAGCTACCACACGGCTCCAGCACGGACTCGAACCACGTCTGTCAACTACTCAAGTCGCTCTACGGCATCAAGCAAGCTCCGCGACTATGGCAAAAATACCTACACGCTCGCCTCATTCGCATCGGCTTCAAGCAATTGCCGCACGACCAGGGCATGTACCGGCTCACGAAGGGTACCGACTACATCCTGCTAATCGTCTATGTAGACAATCTGCTCTACATCGGCTCAACTGACGGCATTACAACCTGGTTCGAAGGAGAGCTACAACAAGACCTCACACTCACGGTCTCATCTACCGTCAGACAATACCTCGGCCTCAACATCCGGGAAGAGGAAGACGCTATCTACCTCACCGCCGCGAAATACGCCGACACCATCGCCAAGCGTTTCGCACTCACACCGACTGTCATCTCCACACCGTACCGCTACACGACAGCAAACAACAAAGAAGGCTCCGCTCTATTCAAGCCCGCCGGCATACGCGACTACCAGAGAAAGCTGGGCTGCCTTCTCTTCGCAGCTGCCACCTGCCGCCCAGATCTATCCTACTCTGCAAGCCAGCTCGCCACCCACCTCAAGAAGCCTGAAGCGGAACATCTGGCGGAGCTCGACCGCGCTCTTCACTACCTTGTCAGCACCCCGACGGTCGGCCTGACTTACCATAAGAACGCAACTACAACGCCTAAGCTAATTGGTTACGTCGACGCAGATCACGCGGGCGACTCCGACAACAGACGATCGCGCACCGGCTACATCTACCGCTTCGAGCCTATCGGACCTATCTCCTGGCAATCGAGCAAGTAGGAACTAATTGCTCTCTTGTCAGCTGAAGCAGAATATATTGCACTCTGCTCAGCCACCAAGGAAGGACTCTATCTTTGCGAGCTGCTGGAAGAAAGCGAAGTTAGCCGAGTTACCCAACTTTACCATGTTCTGCGAGAACCAGTCGGCAATTCGCATCGCCAACAAGAACGGCTTCGCGAACAGGACGAAACACATCGCCCTGCGATATTTTTTCGTGAAGGACGAGATCGAGAAGGGAAGGCTCGAGCTGTCATACTGTCCCACGTCCGAGATGGCAGCTGACTACCTGACCAAGAAGCTCGGAAAGCAGAAGTTCGAATACTGCATGCTGCTGACTGGACAGAGCCACGTCAACGACACTCCAGAAGCGAAGGGGAGTGTTGGAAACAATCGGTCCTAAGCGCCTCTGTCGTGTCGAAACACTATGGCACAAGCGAAGCAAAGCATATCGAGGCACCAGCGAGTCAACCCTCGGAGGTTGAAGTAACCGCTGGAGGTTACGCGAAAGTCAAAGGTCAGCGACCTTTGACCTGACAAGTATAGCGCGACAGCAAGGACACACAACTGACTCACTACAGAGCAGTTGCCCGAGTCGTCACTGTATCCAACCGCAACAGCAACAAGTAAAACAGTTATAACCGTATCCTTTCATATTCCTTGTACTCTGATATAATCTTGTATCTCTTTGTTTTAATCAACTTACTTTGCCCTCACATACTAGCGCAAGGTGGTTCACAACTCTTTATTAACGCTTCCGCTACTACACCAACTCTACCCAGAGTTCACCCTTGCAAAGATCCTAAGGGCCTTTTCAGCCCAACAATAGTGACCCCCCCTTCTAGTTGGGTCCACTTGAAAACAGAAGTTTTTTTGGGACGTCTCGGAAAGCTTGAAGTGCTGTACGTTTTTATTTTTTCACTCCAGACAAGTCTCGATATGAACGGGGAACATTTGGAACCTGTTTACATTTCTGATTGGCGGCGAAACTCACACACAACTCACACACATACATGTGCGAATTTGGCGCAAGGTTGCAAGGCCTGTACTCACTCGAGCAGTCATCGTAACTTCACCAAAACTCACAACAATCAACAGCACAGGCACAACTCAGCGCACACACATATGCACGATCTGGGAGTGAATGTTGGCCGACGAATGGAAGAGCTGCGAGAAAAAGGGTTCCTTGGGCTTGAGGTTGAGAGAGGTAAAAAAATAGGGAGAGAGAGAGAGGGGAACAACGGGATGGGAGGGGAGACCGTGAAGAACTACGGAAGGGAGGGAGAGAGGAGGCGAACGACGGGATGGGAGGGGAGAGGAGGCGAACGACGGGATGGGAGGGGAAAGGAAGCAAACGACGGGATGGGAGGGGAAAGGAAGCGAACGACGGGATGGGAGGGGAAGGAAGCGAACGACGGGATGGGAGGGGAGAGGAGGCGAACGACGGGATGGGAGGGGAGAGGAGGTGAACGACGGGATGGGAGGGGAAAGGAAGCAAACGACGGGATGGGAGGGGAAAGGAAGCGAACAACGGGATGGGAGGGGAAAGGAGGCGAACGACGGGATGGGAGGGGAGAGGAGGTGAACGACGGGATGGGAGGGGAAAGGAAGCGAACGACGGGATGGGAGGGGAAAGGAAGCGAACGACGGGATGGGAGGGGAAAGGAAGCGAACGACGGGATGGGAGGGGAGAGGAGGCGCACGACGGGATGGGAGGGGAAAGGAGGCAGGCAAACGACGGGATGGGAGGGGAGAGGAGGCAAACGACGGGATGGGAGGGGAAAGGAGGCGAACGACGGGATGGGAGGGGAAAGGAGGCGAACGACGGGATGGGAAGGGAAAGGAGGCGAACGACGGGATGGGAGGGGAGAGGAGGCGAACGACGGGATGGGAGGGGAGAGGAGGCGAACGACAGGATGGGAGGAGAGAGGAGGCGAACGACGGGATGGGAGGGGAAAGGAGGCGAACGACAGGATGGGAGGGGAAAGGAAGCGAACGACGGGATGGGAGGGGAAAGGAGGCGAACGACGGGATGGGAGGGGAAAGGAGGCGAACGACGGGATGGGAGGGGAGAGGAGGCGAACGACGGGATGGGAGGGGAGAGGAGGCGAGCGTCGGGATGGGAGGGGAAAGGAAGCGAACGACAGGATGGGAGGGGAAAGGAAGCGAACGACGGGATGGGAGGGGAGAGGAGGCGAACGACGGGATGGGAGGGGAGAGGAGGCGAACGACGGGATGGGAGGGGAAAGGAGGCGAACGACGGGATGGGAGGGGAGAGGAGGCGAACGACGGGATGGGAGGGGAAAGGAGGCGAACGACGGGATGGGAGGGGAAAGGAAGCGAACGACGGAATGGGAGGGGAGAGGAGGCGAAAGACGGGATGGGAGGGGAGAGGAGGCAAACGACGGGATGGGAGGGGAAAAGAAGCGAACGACGGGATGGGAGGGGAGGACGTGAGCGATAGGAGATGAAGTGGACGGGATGGGAGGGGAGATTGCGGGAAGGTGATGGGAGAGAGAGCGCGAAGGAGATGGGAGAGAGAGCGCGAAGGCGACGGGAGAGAGAGCGCAAAGGCGACGGGAGAGAGAGCGCGGAGGCGACGGGAGAGAGAGCGCGGAGGCGACGGGAGAGAGAGCGCGCTAGGCGACGGGAGAGAGAGCGCGAAGGCGACAGGAGAGTGATAGGCGATGCGCGAGAGAGGAAGGCGACCGGGAAACGCAACGTGATGATTGCGCGAGGCTTGGAAACACAATGCACTAATTCAAGATGTATTACGCAGAAGCGCGAAGTTCATGACTACGCGCCTAGTCGGAAATTGTCGAGGTCCTAAGCTACTCAATGTTAGGCAGAAAGCTGGAATGATTAGTTCTCACTCTGCTATGTGAATAAACTAGTGACTAGAGGAAGTGGGTGATGAACCCAGGACCAGCTTGAAATTGGAGTTGGGTCTGGCGACGGAAAAGCATCGCCAGGGAACGGTCGTGCGGATGCAGCACGCACGTATGCGACAGCTGATATGAACCTCGAAAATCGTTTTGGCGGGAGCCAATTTTTTTCAGATTGGTGTGAGCCAATCAGATTACTTCAACATGCCTAACCGTTTTGTTTGGAACAGTGTTGTATCAGCCGAAATCATTGCAGCGATTTCAAGGTGGGACGGCCTTCACTATTTTATATTTCGGTTTTAAGAAAGGTGGTGAATATCCGAGACACCTCGGCGGGCCAGGTAAGCATCCACAACCGGATATCCCAGTAGCGAATCAGCAGCGACATACGTGTCGTCATCGCTCGTGCATTCTTTCCAGCGAAGCAGGAATTTCACCGAGCGGCCGGCGGCAGTCACGTCCACGCGATGGTTGAGAATCTTCCAAGGTTCCAGCGTGGGCTCCGCCACGGGGCGTGTGGTCGGCGCGATGGTTGGCCGAGCAACAGTTGGCGACTGCGGCTGTTCGTAATGACGCAGCAGGCTGACGTGGAAGGCGTCATGTATTTTCCAATCGTCGGGCAGCAGCAGCTTCGCGGTGACAGGTGTCACCATCTGGGTGATACGAAATGGTCCCACGTATCAGGGCCTTAGTTTCGCGGGCTGCGGCAGCCTGAGGTTCTTGGTGTCCAGAAGCACAACGTGCCCTGCGCGAAAGGGTAAATTCCGTCGATGTTTATCCACCTGTCGACTGGCCGTGGTATTAGCTTTACGAATGAAATCAGCTGCTTTCGTGCGGGCTGTCTGCAGCTCCGTGACAAACTGCTGCGATCGTGGTACCGGGTTGTCCACAGTCGTTGAGGAGGGTACCACGGGGTCTATCCCGTAATTCAAGAAGAAGGGCGATTGTTTAGTCGTGGCCGAAGGGGCGTTGTTGTACGCGAATTCCAGCATCGGCAGCGAATCCTCCCACTTGCGAATGTCTGGGCAGTTGGTGCGAATCAGTTGCTCCATGGTCTGATTTGTCCGTTCCGTCTGTCCGTCGGTTTGCGGGTGGTATGGTGACGAAAACTGCAGGCGGGTGCCGTACTGTGCCCATGTATCCTGCCAGAACTTTGACGTAAATTTCGGATCACGATAGCTGATGATCGCCGAAGGTAACCCGTATAGGCGTACGACGGTGAAGATGAACAGTTTGGCTGTATCTTCGGCTGTGATCGTCGTTCGGCATGGGGCGAAATGCACCATTTTCGTCAGGCGATCGACGACGACCATCACCGAGTCGTTGCCACTCGTGCCAGCTGGAAGCCCCGTGACGAAATCCATCGTCACTTGTTGCCACGGTCGTTCGGGTGGCGCGAGGGGTTGCAGCAGTCCGGCTGGCCTTTGTCGCGACGACTTCATTGCTTGGCAGGTCGAGCAAGTTGACACGTACCGCTGCACATCGGTGTGCATGTCCGGCCAGAAATAATTCCGCTGCAGCAGCTTCAGTGTTTTGTCGGTGCCAAAATGTCCGGAGAGGTTGGAGTTGTGGACCTCCTGCGTCAGCAACTCCCGTAAAGGCTGGTATGCTGGTACCCAAATCCGGTTCGTACCGGCTTTTAGGTAGTACTTGCCATGTGGCGTGGCAGCCTGATGGTGCGGGTTCCGAAAAAACCTGTCGATCTTGTAGCCATGGGTGAATAGTTCCGTCAGCATCGGGTTGGTGTGGGCAATTAGTACCGCCGCGTTTTGCATGGATGGTCGGGTGAGGGCGTCGGCGATGTTGTTGGCGCCCTTCTTGTACGTGATGGTGTACCGAAAATTGGACTCGAGGAAGTCCAACCACCGGATTTGTCGCCGGTTGAGTGCCGGTTGTGTACGCATGTACTGTAGCGATTTGTGGTCGGTTCGGATTGTCACGTCGGCTCCCGTGAGGTAGCAGCACCAGGTACGAAATGCATGGACGATGGCCAGCATTTCTTTGTCGTGGACTGGGTAGTTGCGCTCGGGTGGCTGCATCTTGCGTGATTCGTAGGCGATGGGTTGCAGCCCATTGCCGAAGTCCTGTAGCAGGACGGCGCCGACGGCAAAATCGCTGGCGTCCGTGACGACTTCGAACGGTCGGGATGGGTCGGCGAGGCGGAGCACCGGGGGGGAACCCAAAATGTTTTTGAGGGCGTCGAAGGCGGACTGCTCCCTCTCCCCCCACTGAAAATGAGTGTCGTGATGCAGCAGGTCGGTCAGCGGCTTGGTTATCCCTGCCATATTAGGTACAAAACGACGAACGTAGTTAACAAACCCCAGAAAACTTTGCAACTCAGGGATATTAGTCGGCGACTTCCACTTAACGATGGCGTCCATTTTACGCGGGCCGATTTTGATTCCCTCGCCAGAAACCACGTGCCCTAAAAACTCCAACTCCGGCTTCAGGAACTCGCACTTAGACCCCTTCGTAATTAGCCGATGCCCCTGTAAACGCCGGAACACCTCCTCTAAATCCCGCAGATGGTCTTCTTTTGTCGCGCTGTACACCAGGATGTCGTCCAGGTACACGATGACTTTTTTGTCCAGCATGTCCCGGAAAATCCCGTTCATTGTGAGCTAGAACGTTGAGGCGCGTTTGTCAGTCCGAACGGCATCACCGTAAATTCGTAATTGCCGAATCGTGTGCTTTCAACGCTGTCTTCGGGCAGTCGTCGGCGAACACGCGAATTTGGTGGTAGCCTCCTCGCAAGTCGATTTTCGAGAAGTATCGAGCTCCGCGAAGTTGATCCAGCAGATCGTCAGTTCGCGGGATCGGGTAACGCGATTTTATCGTGACCCGATTCAGCGCCCGATAATCAATGCACATGCGTAGGCCCCCATCCTTCTTCGGTGTGAACAGTATCGGCGCTGCATACGGCAACGTGCTTGGCCGGATAAATCCTTTGGCGAGCAGGTAATCCAGCTGGGCCCGCAACTAGGCGAGCTCTGGTTGGCTGAGCCGCCACTGTGTCCGAACAGTAGGTTGCGCGCCGGGCTCCAGCTGGATCCGATGATCTTCAGGGCGTTGGGGGGGCAGGCCATTCGGGAGGTCATCCGCCAAAATTTCGGGATACCTCCGAATAATGCTCGCCAGTTCCTCGGGGACTGCTGCGTAGAGGGTGTCGATGTCCGCGATTTTCTCGGAAGCTGCCACCTCGTACAGGTGCACCAAGAAGGCCTGAGCTCCGCTGTTCATCGCTCACGCCATGTTGACCGCGTTGACACGTGTCGTCACCGGCTCCGGCTCCGTCCATTTCGGAAGCGTCGTCTTCCCTCCATATCCGTGCACGACGCACGCCCCAGTCGTCCAGTCGATCGTCGGATTGAAGCGCTGCAGCCAATCCTTCCCCAGCAGCACATCGAAGTCGTCCAACGTCGTCGCCAACATCTTCATGCCAAACCCGAAATTGTCGCCGCACCGTATCCGAATTTTTCGCGCCTCATCTCGGATGGCCAGCGGTGTCCCGTCCACCAACCGTGCATCGATCTCCGGTAGACACCTGGTCAGCTTCACCCCATTTTTTTTTGTCGTTGCCAGGTTGACGAGACTGTGGATCGCCCCACCATCAACGAAGATTTCTATTCTATAACCGTTAACCCTCCCCACCACCAGCACAGGGTAGTCCACGCGTTCACCCACGTTATTCGTCCAGTTCTGGTCGATAGCTCTGATCGGTACCACGACCCGGTGTGGATGGTGATTGTCGCGCGACAGGGTCTCGTCAGTAGGGGGCCCGTCTGCTACTGACTCATATCTTTTCCCGACCCTTCTCCGTCGTTCTTCTTCCCCTGCTTAAGCCTCGGGCTGTCTTTTTTCAGGTGGCCCAGCTGGTTGCATATAAAGCACGGCCCAAGGGCTCGGCTTGATCGTGGGCTGCTGAGTCGATCCACGAAATCGAGGGCCCTCCCGGGAGCTCGATCTCGCCCACTGTATCAGTGCATCTGTTGACTCAGCTTCTCGGACGGCGTCGTTGAAACTGCGTGGCCGCGTTCGTCGGACCTCGTACTGTATCTCATATTTGAGGCCCGCCACGTAGCGATCCAACCGCTCTGCGTCGCTCATGTCGTCCACTTGGTCCGCCAAGTTGCAGAATGTGCTGGTATAGTCTTGGACCGAAGTCAACTGCTTCCAAGCACGCAGCTTCATGCGAGCAGAGTCCGAGGCGAATATGTGCTCGAACTTGGTTCGCAAGGCGGCGCCCCACTCCCTCCATATGCATATCGTAGCCGTCCCAAAAATTGATGATGCTCGATGCGTGACATGTATCGAAGTCCCGTCGTTCGCACGTGCTATTCCTGCCGAAGTCCCTTCGTCTTGCAGCGTTCGCCTCCACCACTCTAGCGCAGGTCCTCGCAACAGTGAAACTGCGAAATTAACGCGGGTGGCATCGTCATAAATCATGGCAGCATTGAAAAATACCTCCACACCGAACAACCATGCAGAAACAGTGACGAACTTGTCACTTGGGTTAAACGGGGGTGGGTTCGTCGGCTTGATTTTAACTGTTGTCAAAGCCGTTGCTGCCACTGGGACTGTTGGCATCGCTGTTGGCGTCGCCGTCGTCGTCGCTGCTGCATGTGTCGGGGCTGCATGCGACTGTTGTGGTGACTGCTGCTGTTGCGCCTGCCTCGCCTCGTCCGCATCTATCTCGCCTTCCAGCTCGCTCCAGCCCGCTCATCTGGTGCAGTGCTGCTACTTGCGTCGTCCACGACAGGCGACTCCTGACGCGCTTCATTACGCGCCTGGTGTAGTTCGACGTTTTCCTTCCGTAGACGCTCCATCTCTGCAGTCATACCCTGCAAGTTGGCCTGCATCGCACGGAACTGTTGCATGAACTCGTTAAACTCAGCCTGTTCCATGTGCCTCAGGCTTCGTCGAACGGGCAGGGGTTGGCTCGCGATTTTTCTGACTTCGGTGAAGGCGTAAATGCTATCGTAGTCGGAGTGGAATAATCGGATCTATTCCACGGGCCGACCGCTTTACAGCCCACCAAGTCTATCGCTCCCCTTCTACAAACTACTCTGGAAACGCGAGGGTAACCTAGGAAAGTAGGCTCTGATACCAAGTGTTATGAGTTGTGAAAGGAAGAGTGCGCAGAACTCAATAATGCGGAAGTGATTACAATGTCTGAGAACACGAGGCCTAGGACTAATATAGCGAAGTTAGCTAGGCCGAGGTCGCGGGGTCGCGAGATGGTTGGGTGCAGGTTCGGGGTTGGAAAACCCAAAGGCGACGCGGTGGTGGCTCGGAAGGCGAGGTCGGCGGACCGAGCCTGGTTTTCCGAAAACCGGGGTTGTACGCGTACAGTGTGACCCTGTAAGGAATCCGGAAAATTCCTTACATGTTGAGTTCCAATAACCTCCAGCCGTGATTTCCTAGTGGTTGAAGCTGCCAACATTTCAGCTGGTCGAACTTGTAATTCATTCAAGAAGGTACACGATCCTCTTGATTGGGGGTTCTTTCAGTCAATCTGTCGTGCTATATTGGAGAACTAATCCCCGCTGCAAGATGCAAGGCAAACCCAAGGTGCCACGGCAAGCCCCGAGCTGGCCAATCAAACCACCTCCCTCCAATACAGCACCGTGGTTTCCCATTGGTGTTTGACGAAACTGGCGAATTCGGACAGTCGAGATATTTTCAGTTCGACGAGAATCGCCAGCGCGAAAATGAGGAAGCTCACACGTTCGCCAAAACTCAAATGGATCATGGACCATGGCCCATCAATGTGTTGTGCTGTTGCATAAATGACCCTCCCCACAGCACATGCCTCAAGGCTGTCTCGGGGGAGGATGTGTGGTGTGGGGAAAGAGGGATGAAGGGGACAGAAAGCCAGCAGAAAGCAACACACCATACCTGACGACCAGGTTAGAAGAACCTCAGAGACCTTATTGCAAAGCGGTAGCACGAGTTTCAAAATGATAGAAAGTGAAGTTTCGTATGTGCAGTACGGTAGCAACTCGAACTTGAGTGGGGAGCCATGAGACCAAAAGCAGCAGTATCGAAGCAAGATTCAAGCTTTTTATTGTTAGAAAACTAGGCATTTATCTTTTCCTCCCCCTCTTCCCTTCCTCCTCCCCTCTTCCTCCATTCTACGTACCCCTTGAATGGAGATCTAGGCCTCTAGATACAGTAGTACCTGCCAGGGACACATGCAAGGCAGATACGATTAGCCAATTTAGATCTTATTTTCCTTTGTTTTAGGTTTTTTGTTGTTGTTTGTTTTTTCTTTACAAGTTGTGAGTTTTTTTTCAGTCATCCTCGAGATCTCTCGTGAACCCTATTCCGAAACCTAAGAAGCCATGGCCGGACCGTCGCCCAGCGTCACGCAAGACGGACAAGGTAGCCATCTCACGAGGACAATTAGTAAAAACACACACGAAAAAACAAGAAACTGAGGGTTACGAATGACTCGCGCGTTCGCTATGTACGCTCGAGTGACAGCACTGTTCGTCATCGCTCCTGCTTCTGTGGACCTAATCTCTTGCTGCGTGCATTCTAGCCGACATAACACCAGTCATGTATCCTCCCCCGCCTTCCTCCCCCCCTCCTCCCTTGGTTTGTTTGTTTGCTTGTTTTTTTTTTTGCGGCTTTTCCCGCCTTTCTTGCTTTCTTATCTTTCAACAGCTTCCAGCAAGCCAGAGGGAGCCAGCGGCTCTATCGGAGCAGCAGCTCCGACTGCCGTGACTCCGTCAGCAGAGGTACATTCGCCTTCATTGATAAGATTTTTAAGATTGCAACTCGAATTGCAACTCTGATGATTTGAAAGGGTCTGCACTTTTCCTCTCCGAGTGATGGTTATTAAACCCTTCAGTGCAAATGCGTGCGTTTCCTAGGAAAAGAATTCCCGTTTGATATCAGAGGAAATCTTGGTCCCCACCAATCCGCATTCACCTCGTCCGGAAATAATCCTGGATACACACTCTATTCCGCGAAAGGTATCAAGCCTATCCGATCCACGGACCTGACCAGGCAGCGACAAACCAGAAGGCCACCTAATCAAAAGCGATATTCGAATCAGTTTGATCCATATTACACGCTTTCGCCACTGGCCAATGCCAATATCAGCGGGATTTCCGCATATTTCTATGCCTCATTCCCTTTTTCCCTTTTCCTCAAGCAGGCTTCAGGAGCAGCAGGGGGCTCCCAACGATCGCCTTTGAGACGTCTCAAAGAATTCCGCATACTTTCTATGCCTCCTTCCCTTATTCGCTCGTCCCATGCAGGCTCCAGAAGCAGCAGGGGGCTCCCATGCAGCGCCAGGGGGGTCTTTCCAACCGTCGACAGGCGCTGTCGCCGCACCCGCGGGCCCAGTAATCGTGGGCCCGCCCGGAACCATTCCCCCAGGCGCGGGGGTTCCGGGCGCAGGCGGAGCACCCGGCGCAGGGGGGGGAGTAGCGGGGGGGGTGGCGGGCGCGTCTCCCGTAATGCAGGCTATGCCTGGGGGAATGCAGCACATGCAGCCGTATATGATTCCCCCTATGGGACCGGATGTGCATGGCATGTATTACCCCGGGAATGGATACATCCCCCACTACTACTACGATTACTCCATGCCAGGTCAGCATTTTTTGCCTCATTCCAACATTCCCGTTCTCACCAAAACCCATTTTTCCCACTGCCATTGCCCCTCTCCCGCCCACCCTCCCCTCCCGCCCCCCGGCTCCCCCAATCCCTCCACTTCCCCAGACCCCCCTCCTGCACCTTCCCCCCTCCGCCCACCCCGTCCCTCCCCCTCTTTTCCTCGGTTTTTTTCGTTCCATACATCGTTCCCATTTAATTTCTCGTCGTTTCAGTCACCATCCAGGTGTCTCATCTTCCCGCTTCCCCCCTCAACTCCTTCTCAAACAACCTCGCCGTTCCTCTAGATACGCCCTCCAACGCTCAAACGCTCTCCCCTTTCTCTCCCCCCTCTGTCCCATTCGCTCCCCTTCCCCCTTCTTCCCGTCCCTCCAGGCTACGCGGATCCTCCGCGCATGCCCCCGGAGCAGTGGGAGGAGTACATGCGCATGGCCGCGCGGATGGATGGGGGAGCGGGCATGATGGACGGTCAGCAGCCGCCGGTAGGTCGTTTGGGTGACAAAGCCGTTTGCAGCACCGTTTCCAGCGCTGGAGGTGATTTGTGAGTTAAAATTAATCTCCTTGGGGAGCAGGCATGGTGGACGGTCAGCAGGAGCCAGTAGGTCGTCTGGGTAGGTCGCAAGGGCCTTTGCAGGGCTGTACCAGAATACTGAGCTGATTCAAAATCATCTTCAAAAGCGGGCATGATCGACGCTTAGCAGCCACCGATTAGGTCGTATGGGTAGTCTATAATGGCGTTTGCCGGGCTGCTGACAAGGCCGTTTGCAAAGCCATTAGCAAAGCCGTCGCCGTCTGTAGTTCAACTGAAAGGCTCAGTAGCCGATGCCTCCTAAACCTCCTGAAAACCCGCCGACAGATGGTAGCTGAAACTCCCCTCTTACGAATTGTTGTATTTCAGCTGATTTTTTCTCATTTCACCTCTGCTTTACTCCCGTCCTTGGCCTGCAGCCAGGGTTTGGGTTTCACGTGCCACACTACCCACACCCACACATGCCGCCCGGTTTCATGCCCCCCCATGCGCCTGGTCAACCGCCCCAGCCGCACATGATGCACCCACATCAACCCGGCCAGCCGCAACCCCCGCCACCGCCGCTAACGGCGCAGCAGCAGTCGCAACAGGGGCAGCAGCAGCAAGGGCAGGGGCAGGCGCAGCAGCAGGGACAGGCGCAGCAGCAGGGGCAGGAGCAGGGGCAGGGGCAGCAGCAGGGGCAGGAGCTGACACAAGGTGCGCAGCAGCAGCAACAGCAGGATCAGAAGCAAGCACAAAGAAGCAACCAGCAGACAGGGCAGCAACCGTCAGGCCAGCAACAGCAACAGCAGCAGCAGCAGCAAGTGCAACAGCAAGGGCAGCAACCCAACCAGCCGCAGCAACAACAGCAGCCGCAGCAACCCCAGCAGGGCATGGCCCTTCACCATCCTCCGCCCGGCTTCATGCCTTTCATGCCCCCAGGCGCACACCCGTCCATGATGGGCGCTCACATGTTCGGCGCCCCTCCCCCCGGGTACCCCTTTCAAGGTCCTCCTATGTTTCAGCCGCCCCTACTCCGTCCGCCCTCGCCTGGCGGTAAGTCGTAGGTCAGGGACGGGCGAGCATCCGTCCATGATGGGCGCTCACATGTTCGGTGCCCCTCCCCCCGGGTACCCCTTTCCAGGAGGACCCATGTTCCAGCTGCCCCTGCTCCGCCCTCCTTTGCCTGGAGGTAAGTCGCGAGTCAGGGACGGGCGCACACCCGCCCTTGATGGGCGGAAACATATTGCGCACATGCCCCCCACACACGCCCCCAGTGATTGTCACCCCACCCCACTTGCCTTGCCCGTTTTCAACTCTCACTGAGACCGTGTTCTCCTCTTCCTTCCCCTTTCCCGCCAACTCGCCCGCCCCTCCCTTAAACCCCTTTTCCTTCCCCCCTCCCCGTTTCCCCGTTCCCCTCCCCCAGACCCAGCGCAGCCTGGCGATTCCGCCCAGTCAGCTGCAGCATCCGCGCACATCCGCCCAAGTCACATGCCCCCAGTCTGGCCCTTCTCACACTCATGCTGTCTCCCCACCCCCCATTCCTCTTCCCCCCTCGACCTCCCCCCCTTCTCCCCCCCAGACCCAGCCCAGCCTGGCGATTCCTCCCAGCCAGGCGCAGCATCCGCGCACATCCGCCCAGGTCACATGCCCCCAGTGATCGGCGCCCCTCCCCACATGCCCCACATGCCCATGCACGCCTACCCCCGCCCCTCCCCCATGTCCTCCGCCTCCCCGCCCATAAACCCGCTCCCCATGGGCCGTGGGGTGTACAATCTCCTCCCCCGCGGAGGGCAGCAGCCTATGGGCGGGCGCGGGGTGGACGGTGGCGGAGGAGGGGGAAGGGGAGGCGGGCGCGGATGGGGGGGGAACAGGCGGGGGCAAGGCCCTGGGGGTGGGGGCCAGGCAGGCGGAGGGGGAAGCGGGGGAGGGGGAAGCGGAAGTGGCGTGGGCGCAAGTGCAGCTGCAGGCGGAGGAGGAGCAGGAGCGGGAGCAGGGGCAGGGGGAGCAGCGGGGGGAGGCGGGGGGAACACGGGGGGGGCGGGTTCCCCTGCTAACAGAGGAGCTGGTCTTTTAGGCAGCATGGGGGGACAGGGGCAGCAACAGCAGCAGCTAGGCCAACAGGGGCAGCAGGGGCAACAAAACGGTGTGTATGACGGGTCTAGCGAGCAGAACAGAGGCCCTAGAACGGGCAGAAGTAGGGGGCAGGGCCTTCCCACCCCCTCTGCACCTGGCGCTCCCAGTGCGTCTATGCCTATAGGAGCAGCTGCTGGCGCCATAGGGGAGCCTATCGGCGCTGCTGCTGCTGCTGCTGCAGCTGCAGCAGGGGCGGGAGCAGGGGCAGCTGGGGGAGCGGGGGGAGCGATGGGGGCAGCAGTGGCAGCAGGGGGGGCACGGGGCGGAATAACCCTGCGTCCAGACGAGTACAATCGGGCAGACTTCAAGACGTCGTACGAGGCGGCGAGATTCTTTGTGATAAAGAGCTACAGCGAGGACGATGTGCACAAGAGCATCAAGTACGGCGTGTGGGCGTCCACCCCCACGGGCAACAAGCGCCTCGATGCCGCCTTCAAGGACGCCGCAGGGAAGAGCAGCGCCACCCCCTGCCCCGTCTTCCTCTTCTTCTCTGTAAGTTTGCTGTGCTTGCTTCACCCACCCCCAATCCAGAAACCCCCACCCTGGAAACTCCCAACCCAGAAACCCCCAACCCAGAGACCCCGAACCAGACGCCCCAATCCAGAAACCCTAAACAAGACAACCTGAACCAGATACCCCAAGCCGAGAAACCCTAAACCAGAACCGTAAGCCAGCCCCTCCCGGGGCTGCGGTTGTTTGTGATAAAGAGCTACAGCAAGGACGAGACGATGTGCACAAGAGCATCAAGTACGGCGTATGGGCGTCCTTCCCCACGGGCAACAAGCGCCTCGATGCCCCCAAGGACGCCGCAGGGAAGAGCAGCGCCACCCCCTGCCCCGTCTTCCTCTTCTTCTCCGTAAGTTCGGTGTTTGTGCATGTTCCTCCTTCGACCAGGTTCAGAAACCCTAACCCAGAAACCCCAAACTAGACACCCCGAATCAGACACTCTAAACCAGACACCCCAAACCGGAAACCCCTTAAACCCAAGATCCCCAACCAGAAGCCCTAAGCCAGCCAGCCCCCCCTGGGGGTGCGGTTCTTTGTGATAAAGAGCTTCAGCGAGGACGATGTGCACAAGAGCATCAAGTACGGCGTGTGGGCGTCCACCCCCACGGGCAACAAGCGCCTCGATGCCGCCTTCAAGGACGCCGCAGGGAAGAGCAGCGCCACCCCCTGCCCCGCCTTCCTCTTCTTCTCCGGAAGTGCCGTAACCCGAACAAGGAACCTGAACCCAGAAACTCCAAATCAGACAGCCTGAACAAAACCCAAAACCCTGAACCAAACCCGAAACCCTGAACCAAACCCTAAACCCTGAACCATCCACTCGGGAATTGCGCTGCTGCCCCCTGCTCCGTCTTCCTCGTCATCTCGGTGTGTGCTGTGCTGTGTGTGCCTGCTCTGCCCCGCTCCAGAAACCGTAATCCAGACACCCCGATTCAGGAGCCCGAAATCAGTCACCCTAACACCAGCCACTTCGATCTAGACCAGTCACTCCTTCCCCCTCCCCCCTCCCCCCTCCCCCCTCCCCATTCCCCCGTTCCCCTCCCCCTCTCCCCTTTTTCGCCATCAGTTGCCTTCTACCCAGGTGAACGCGAGTGGGCAGTCCTGTGGGGTGGCGGGGATGCTGACCCCAGTGGACTTCACTCGCACACTTTATCTTTCCTTCCCTTTCCTTTCCCCCCCTCTTTCCCCCTTTCTCCCCTGTCTCGATCCCTCCTCTCACCCTCCCTGTTTCAGGTGAACGCGAGTGGGCAGTTCTGTGGGGTGGCGGAGATGCTGACCCCAGTGGACTTCACTCGCAGTGTGGACTACTGGCAGCAGGACAAGTGGAACGGACCTTCCCACCCAACTCTCACCTCCCTTCGCGCTCTTCTGTTCCCTCCTCTCTCCCTCCCCTCTGTTCCCTTCCCTCTCCTTCCCCTGTGTCTCTCACTGTCGTTGCCACTTCCTTGGCAGGTGAACGCGAGTGGGCAGTTCTGTGGGGTGGCGGAGATGCTGACCCCGGTGGACTTCACTCGCAGTGTGGACTACTGGCAGCAGGACAAGTGGAACGGACACTTCCAGGTCAAGTGGCATGTGATCAAGGACGTGCCCAACTCGCAGTTCCGGCATATAATCATCGCTTCCAATGATGGCAAGCCTGTTACCAACAGCAGAGACACGCAGGAGGTGAGAAGGGGTTGAGAGCGGTTGAAAGGGGTTAATGATGGGGGAGTGGGGGAAGTGGCGCGTGATCAAGGACATGCCCACTATCATCACGCAGTTCCGGCATATCATCATCGTGTCTAATGACGGCAAACCGGTCACCAACAGCCGAGATACCCAAGAGGTATGGCGGGTGGATGACGGATGTTGGGGGGGGTGAAAGGGGGTGACAGGGGGGTTGGTGATGGTCAAGTGGCACGTGATGGAGGACGTGCCCAACATGCAGTTCCGGCACATCATCATCGTCTCTAATGACGGCAATTCCTTCAGTTCCTTCCCCCCCCTCTCCTTCAACGCCCCCACCCCCTATCATCCCTCGTTCCCTCCTTCGTTCCCCCCCAGGTGCCGCTGCAGCAGGGCAGGAGATGCTGCGGCTGTCCAAGGGCTACTTGTTCCAGGGATTCACCCTCTCCCCCCACTCCCCCCTCTCCTCCTATCCCCCAGGTGCCGCTCTAGTAGGGGCAGGAGATGCTGCGGCTGTTTAAAGGCTACTTGTCGCTTATGCCATGCACTGCCCTTTCCCTACTCGATCCCCCCATCCACCCTTTCTCCCTCCTCCCCCCACCAGGTGCTGCTGCAGCAGGGGCAGGAGATGCGGCGGCTGTTCAAGGGCTACTCGTCCTCAGTGGCGCACGGTGCACTGCTGCTCATACATCTCGATTCCCTCCCACCATCCCCCAACCCCCTCCCCCTCCTCCCCCCACCAGGTGCCGCTGCAGCAGGGGCAGGAGATGCTACGGCTGTTCAAGGGCTACTCGTCTCCACGGTGCACGCTGCACTGCCTGCTCATTCTCCCCGATTCCTTGGTCCTCTCCCCTCGCCCTCCTCCCTCCTCCCCTCTCCCACCAGGTGCCGCTGCAGCAGGGGCAGGAGATGCTACGGCTGTTCAAGGGCTACTCGTCTCCACGGTGCACTCTGCACTGCCTGCTCATTCTCCCCGATTCCTTGGTCCTCTCCCCTCGCCCTCCTCCCTCCTCCCCTCTCCCACCAGGTGCCGCTGCAGCAGGGGCAGGAGATGCTACGGCTGTTCAAGGGCTACTCGTCTCCACGGTGCACGCTGCACTGCCTGCTCAGTCTCCCCGATTCCTTGGTCCTCTCCCCTCGCCTTCCTCCCTCCTCCCCTCTCCCACCAGGTGCCGCTGCAGCAGGGGCAGGAGATGCTATGGCTGTTCAAGGGCTACTCGTCTCCACGGTGCACGCTGCACTGCCTGCTCATTCTCCCCGATTCCTTGGTCCTCTCCCCTCGCCCTCCTCCCTCCTCCCCTCTCCCACCAGGTGCCGCTGCAGCAGGGGCAGGAGATGCTACGGCTGTTCAAGGGCTACTCGTCTCCACGGTGCACTCTGCACTGCCTGCTCATTCTCCCCGATTCCTTGGTCCTCTCCCCTCGCCCTCCTCCCTCCTCCCCTCTCCCACCAGGTGCCGCTGCAGCAGGGGCAGGAGATGCTACGGCTGTTCAAGGGCTACTCGTCTCCACGGTGCACGCTGCACTGCCTGCTCAGTCTCCCCGATTCCTTGGTCCTCTCCCCTCGCCTTCCTCCCTCCTCCCCTCTCCCACCAGGTGCCGCTGCAGCAGGGGCAGGAGATGCTATGGCTGTTCAAGGGCTACTCGTCTCCACGGTGCACGCTGCACTGCCTGCTCATTCTCCCCGATTCCTTGGTCCTCTCCCCTCGCCCTCCTCCCTCCTCCCCTCTCCCACCAGGTGCCGCTGCAGCAGGGGCAGGAGATGCTACGGCTGTTCAAGGGCTATTCGTCCCGCACGTCCATTCTGGACGACTTTACCTTCTACGACTCGCGCCAGCGCGCCATGCAGGAGCGGAAGACCCGCCACCCCTCCCACCCAACCACCTCCTGAATCACCCATGCTCCTCCTCCTCCTCTCCCCCTCTTTTCCTCCTCTCCCCCTCTTTTCCTCCTCTCCCCCTCTTTTCCTCCTCTCCCCCTCTTTTCCTCCTCTCCCCCTCTTTTCCTCCTCTCCCCCTCTTTTCCTCCTCTCCCCCTCTTTTCCTCCTCTCCCCCTCTTTTCCTCCTCTCCCTCCTCTCGATGTCTGCCCCTCTCCCTGTTGCTCCGTTTCTCCATTCTCCCCGCTCTTCCCCCTCCAGGTGCCGCTGCAGCAGGGGCAGGAGATGCTGCGGCTGTTCAAGGGCTACTCGTCGCGCACATCTATTCTGGACGACTTTACCTTCTACGACTCGCGCCAGCGCGCCATGCAGGAGCGGAAGACCCGCCACCCCTCCCACCTGTTCCCGCACCAGCAGCAATCGCAGCACCTGCAGCAGCATCAGCAGCAGCAGCAGCAGCAGCACCCGCAGCAGCAGCACCAGCATCCTCATCAGCAGCAGCTGCAGTCGCAGCAGCAGCAGCTGCAGCACCAGCATATGCAGCAGCAGCAGCATCAGCAGCACCAGCAGCAGCTGCAGCAGCAGAGGCGGATTGTAGTAGGGCGGAACCCGGGACCAGTGCTTCTGCCTCAGGTATTTCTCGTGCCCGTCGTTTCTTTACCTTATCACCCGCACTTGAAGTTCCTTCTCCCTCCTCCCCTACCTCTCCCCTCCCGTTCCCCCTACCATTCCCCTTCCTCTTCTCCTTCCCCGGCCTTCCGTTTCCCCCCCTTTCCCCCACTCCCCTCCCTCCCCGACTCCCCTCCCTCCTCCACTCCCCTCCCTTCCCGACTCCCCTCTTCCCACCTCTCATGCCTCTCGATCCCATCAACCCTTCCTTTGTTTCTGCTTTCGCTATCGCTACCCCCATGCAATACTGATTTAGCTACTACCTCACTTTTCCCCACCTTTCCTTCCTCTATTCCCATTACTCTTTCCCTCTGTTCCCCTGCTCCGCTGTTCCCTTGCTCTCTTGCTCCCTTTCTCCCCTGCCCCGCTGTTCCCTCTACTCCGCGGTTCTCCCCGCCTTGGCTTGACGCCCGCCTGCTAGACCCCCCCTTCCCGCCTCTCATGCCTCTCAACCCTGCCTTTGGCCCTGCTGGCCTGCCTCTTCCCACCAACGCTGCTGCTGGCCCCAGGCTAGACTGATGCAGCTATTATACTCACTCTGCCCCACCTATTTTCCCCTTGTCCCCTGGTCCCCTGCTCCCCTGCTGCCCTGTTTTCCTGTTCCCCTGTTTCCCTGTTCCCCTTGCTGCCATGTCCCTCTCCTCCCTCCGCCCTGGTTCTCGCAGCCGCGACTTGACGCGCGCCCGCTGGACTACCCCTTCCCGCCGCTCATGCCTCTCGGCCCTATCAACCCTGCGTTCGGCCCTGCTGGCTTGCCTCTTCCCGCCAACGCTGCTCCCGGCGCTGCTGTTGCTGCTGCCGGCGCTGCTGGGTTCGGGGGACACGGGAGAATGATGTATTCTCACACAGGGCCTATAGGAGCTGCTCCTGGGGCAGGGCGAGGGAGAGGGGGGCGAGGAGCAGCGGGAGCAGGAGCGGGAGCAGGAGGAGGAGGAGGAGGAGGAGTATCTAGTAGTGCGAGTGCTCTTGCCAGTATGCTTCCTGCTTCTGTCATGCCTAGCCCCACGCCTGCAGCCGCCGCTGCAGCCGCTGCTGCTTCTGCTGCTGCTGGGATAGGTGATGGGGAGAAAGTGGGAGTTGCTACTGGTGGTGCTTCTGCTGGTGGTGCTGGTGCTGGTACAGGTTCTCAGAGTGGTGGGGCAACAGGAGGGGGGACGCAGGGAGGTGAAGGGAAGAAAGCTGGAGGAAAGGGAGGGGAGACGGCAGCAGCGATTGCAGAGGGTGTGGCAGTGATGTCCCTTGGGGAAGGGAAATGAGGGTAGAGGAAGTAATGTGTGAGGGGAGATGAGGTGACTCGTGAGTCGACTCTAATGTCTGGAGGGGAAGGGAGGGGAGACAGCAGGAGCAATTGCAGAGGGTGCGTGGCAGTGATGTCCCTTGGGGAAAGGAAGTGAGGGGACAGGAGGGAAGGTGTGGTGGGAGATGTGTCACATAATGGGAGGGCTGTTATTCAAGGTGGAGAGGTGTTATGCAAGGTGCAGAGAGGTTCTAAACAAGGAGCAGAGAGGTGTTTCCCAAGGTGTAGAGAGGTGTTTCGCAAGATGCAGAGAGGTGTCATTCAAGTGTTACTCAAGCTGCAGTGAGGTGTCACCGCGATGTGATGCTCCCTTAGTGGGCATCAAGAGGTGGATAAAGAATTCAGGCACTATGATGCTTGGCAGAGGAGGAGGCTGGAGCAATGAACAAGATATTCGGAAGCTGCAAGAAAAGCAGCAGCAAGATCAATGGTGACGAAAGTAGGAAATTCCCTTTTTTCTGCTGTTGGCCCATCAGCAAAGTAGGAGAGGAGACAGGTAAGCAGCAGCACTGGTAGTACGGTAGTAGAAACATGTGAGTGAGCGAGCAACATGGATGCTGTGGTATGTATGGTGATTTAAGGTCTGTTGCACATGGACTGAGCAAGCAATTATTGTGCACTACAGGCCTGGACTAGTTACCGCACATGACAGAAATGATGTTACGGTACCCGTCTAGTGGTTCTGTTCTTACAAAAAATGTCCAGATGTTGTCGGCAGTACGGTATAACCGGTTTTCCCACACCGTGTACCACTATCCCACCTTGGAAGCACTGCGTCGCATCCCACGAGGATGGCTCTTGGGAGGTCGCGAGGCTCGATTCTTTGAAGCGTGATTCTTTGATATTTGAAATGCTGCTTCCTGAGATGCCCTGCAGGGCTCGATCCCTGAGGGTGCCCTGCAAAGCTCTGCATGCCGACCGCGACAGCTAGACAAGACGGAATAGCTCTGACGAGTTCAGTAGTTAGCGAATCGAGACACGGATTAATATCAGCGAGCACTGACAGCGCGCCTAGTCAGAGAGTGGGAATAACCGGCTGCAGGTGATCTGGAACTCAGAAGTATGTGTCCAAATCAGCGTCCACTCGGCAGCGGGAATCTGCTTCGCGAGAAACAGGTCACGAAATTTCGTCTGAGAGGCTGTCGTTTCTGCAAGGGGTCGAAATGCAGGGATTTTCGGCTAATGATTGCCACCCACTGCTTACAAGCTCCCCGCCCAGCAATCACTTCTCTCTAGCGAGATTGCTGACCGTGTTTCTCCACCTCGCATTCTCCTTGCTTCGTCCTTAGCGCTGTTCATTCTCGAGGTTACCGTTTGTTCAGAATCTGCATGACATTCCCAGTTATGGAAGTAGTCACATTACCGCTCATATCCTCAACGGCTATGGGAAATAGCAGGCGGTTGGATGCAGAATCCACCGCTGCCTCTCTTTCCGACTTACCCTCCAATACCTCTGGGTGGGACTCTTTGCTTAGACTTCCAGGCTGGAAAACAAGCTCCCAGTTTTCTTGATTGCATGGCATTTACGGTGAAATTAATGGCCGAGGATGGATGATGGCGCCAGTGATGATGGCCTGTGCCACCACGCGAGCTTCTTGTTCCGATTTTTCTCTCCGAAATATCTTCAGTCACGAGGTGCGAGCTTCATTTTCGTGTTTCAAGCGAATTTAGAAAGATCTTGCTTCCATGTCAGCTACTTCTTAAGTTCCTGCGACGTAGAGTAATAATAAGTCTGACCCTGCGGAGCTAGCTCAAGGATTGATTCTTCAGAATTTCCATTACGACTATAGCTGTTGCCCTTCTACCATGCATCCTGAAGACTTCACGTCTCTAGAGATCCAAGAAAGTCAGTACCCTTTATGCTACTGCTTTCTAATGTTTCAATTCCTCCATGATAATCGCCGATTTTCACCTGATGCGTCGTCTTATGCTTTCAGGAGATGGCGTTGCTCGAAGCCCACGTCGGCGAATCACGAGGCGAAGCTTTCAGCCGCGGATCTGGGTGAAGCTGACGTTTTTCGTTGGTGCTCTAGTGCTGATCTGCTCGGGTGTTTTGGCCGTCGTTCTGTGGAGGCTGTCGAAATCAACCTTGACTGGAGAAATTCGAGAGAGACTTGACACTGTCGCAAGCCTTCGTCAAGAGCAGGTATATTCTAATTCTGGCTATTTTGACAACTGAATCAGCTGCTTTGTTGGTCAATTCCGTCAAAATTTTGTAACATTTTTTGTTTTTTTTTTAATGTTTCGATATGTGTATTTGCTGTGTCAGATTCTGGCCTACATCATCGGAACACAAGACACAGTGAAGCTGATTGCATCTCGTGTTGTCATTTCATCCCTGCTGCTCATGCACAAGCAAGGGAGGTCCAATTTGACAAGAAATGACTACAAGATGGGCACGGAGGATCTGGATTCTGCTGTCATGAGTGCAGCTAATGTCATGGCGTTAGGAGCATACAGCAGCGACGGTGAACTTTTGTTTTCCAGCAAGCATCCAGCTGATATGGAGCCGCTTCCAAAACGCTTGCGCGGGCGAGCACTGGTTGTGCAAAGTCGGAACATTTCAGTGTGGTCTGGGACTCCCTATGCCGGACTCAACAATACTTTCCTGATCGACATTACAGCTTCTGTAGACTATAAGGTATGTAATTTCATTCAACGGGTTTGATATTCCCTTTGAACTATCTGTTCCAAAAAAAGAGATGCTCTTATTTTTCTCTTCTGACCCTTTTTGCCTTTCAGGACACCTTTTGTGGAATTATTTTGGCAACAGTTGACGCTGAGAACTTCAAGCAAACTGTACATGATGGAACTGGTCTTCAGTCCACTGGAGAGCTTCTTGTTGCATATGTCAATGATGGAGAGGACGTGGTGAAGTTCATAGTTCCACCAATCAAGGCTCCGTCTGTGAAAAACTCCACTTACAAGGGTGCCGCCTACAGAGCAGGGAAGGGCCAGACAGGATATTACCAAGGGGCTGACTTTCGTGGTGTCGAGGTTGTTGCTTCTTACCGACCCATTGGCTATGACTCTTGGGGTATGTCCTGCAATTTTTGTGTGCGTTAGTTCCTTGATTGAAGCTTTATTCTCCCATTCTTGAGCATTGTTTTCAAACCTAGAAACTGCTTCTTTCATTGCAGGACTGGCAGCCATGATTGACAAAGGAGAAGTGTACATCTCTATAAGGAAGTTTGAGAAGATAATTATCATTTCAATGTCCTGCATCTTTGTGCTTGGGATCCTTGCAGCCTATGCCTTAGCCACGGTATGACATCTTTGTTCTTCATTGCATTCTCTCTGATTTCAAATGTTTCATGCATGGCGGTATGTACTTACGATGTGAGACATCTCTGTGCAGTATTTTTCCCGTCCAATTATGGAGCTTGGAGATGCTGCGGGCAAATTAGCACGGGGTGATTACAGTGCAAGAGCGCATGGGCGGCGAGGCTGCTTGAAGGACGAGATTGATGAGCTTTGCTGTGTTTTTAATGACATGGCAGATCAGATCTCCAGCGCTTACTCAACTTTGGAACAAAAGGTGTGGTCATTCTACATGTGGTCATTTCCCACTTCTATCTTGTTTCCTTTCTTTTGCGCAAATAAACGAACATTTATATATACAATTGACGGACTACTATGTTGAGTTTCAGGTGGTGGAACGCACGCAAGATCTGGCACTGCTGAATCAGGGTCTATCCTCTGAGGTGGAAGAGAGGAAGAGTATGGAGTTACAGCTTCAGGTTGCCAAGGAGCAGGCAGTCTCAGCAGACAAGGCGAAATCTGAGTTCCTGGCAAACATGTCTCATGAGATCAGGACACCGTTGAATGGCATCATCAACTGCACTGAGCTCTGCTTGGACACTGCTCTCAGCTCAGAGCAGATCGAGTACCTTGAGCTTGTAAGTTCTCATTTCACTTTGGTTGAGACCACATTTTTGTTTGTGTTTTTCCTCTCGAACTGTTTCGCTTGGGTCGTGGCTGACTGGATGTAATGATTGCTGTTTTGTGTTCAGTCCCTGTACTCAGCCAAGCATCTTCTGCGCCTGATTGCTGACATTCTGGACTTCAGCAAAATCGAAGCGGGAAAAATGGACTTGGAGAACATTGAGTTCTCAATACAGGACCAGGTACTTGTGATGTTGTAACCATCTGCCTTTGTTAGTGGTGTTGTATTCTTTCTCAACAATAGCTTATTGAATTGATATTTCCTCCAGATGGAGCATGCTGTATCTGTCCTAGCGAATCGGGCAAGGAAGAAGGGCCTTGCACTCGTGTCATGGCTGAGGTCTCCTAACATGCCAGAAAGTCTCATGGGCGACCCTGGACGCCTTCTTCAGATCTTCATCAACCTTTTGGGTAGGTTTCAGTACAGTGCACGCTTAAATAAAATGTATGTTATTTTCTAACATGCAGGGTCTGAAAATTATTGCATGTTACAGGTAATGGGATCAAGTTTACTGAGAGGGGGGAGGTTGTGTTAACCGCAACACTTGTGGCTCTGAAGGATCAGACCGCAGAGGTTCTTTTTGCTGTGAAAGACACAGGTCTGTAAAAATCAAGCGTTTCTATCGTATGCCCATGTTTTTTACATGTCCTGCTGAATCATGACTTACTTTCTCGCATTTACCAGGAATCGGCATACCTCAAGCCAAGCAGTCTCTTCTGTTTCAAGCGTTCAGTCAGGTGCACACATCAGATTCGCGGTGAGATTTAATTACCATTGCTTACCCGTTTTTGTGTGTGTAAAGATATCAAATGTCAGCCACTGATGTCGTTTGTCTGTATTTCAGGCTGTATGGAGGGACGGGGTTGGGGTTAATGATCTCGTCTCGCCTGGCCAATGCCATGGGCGGCCACATGTGGGTTGAGAGCGAAGAAGGTTGCGGGTCAACGTTTTGTTTCACAGCCAAGTTCACCGTACCACCTGAGGCCGCAAAACCATCGTCACTTGCACGGTGTGGCACTCTGTGTCCGAAGATGAACTACTTCCGCGGGCTTGTTGTGGATGGGAATGAATCGGCCAGGAAGTCCATTCTTTCGACCCTTGAGGTGGGATCCACTTCCTACTCGTTTATCTTCTGTGTTGGTGCTGCTGGCACGATGACGTGATACTGATACCAGGTGTTAGTTTACCCTCTTTTTGCAGAAGCTGAAAGTCAAGGCGGACGATGCAGCTGACGCAACCTCTGCTTTGGAAATGCTACAGAAGGCAGCATACGACGACTCGCCATACACCCTCCTCATTGTCGATTCTGAAGTCAGGGACTCTTCTCATGTTCCCTCCTCCTCATCCACCTCCTCCTGCACGTCCTCCTTCGATAACTGTGCTGCTTCCTCCATCAGCTGTGCAAAGCTGCTGCGACGCATCAAGGAGCAGAATTTGATCCATCAGGACAATTTCGGATGCCGATTTTCAAAAGGGGAAGGAAGTAGCGGTGCCGTGCAAGAGATGGAAGATCTTGCTGGGTATTCCGAGTCACCTGTGCCCGCTTGGCTGTTCTCTGGAGAGCAGGAAAAGGCCTCAGCAGAAGCAGAAGAAGAATCTGATGCCAATGTGCTCTCTTCAGGACCAGGGGGACGTGCGTCTGCAAAGAGACCAGGCGGGAGTTCTGGTCAACAGCTACAGTCAGCTACAAAGGGCGGACTCACAGTTAGCCAGGCACAGGATTCCTGCTCTGCAACTGAGGTGACTTTTGAGTCAACTCAAAGGTCACCCAGAGCTGACAGTGGAGGGGAGATGCAGCTGCAGAGATGTGGGCAGGCACAGGCTTCCTGCTCTGCAACTGAGGGGTGTCGACCCGAGCCTCGCGAAGAGGACTTAGCGCTACCTGTGGTGTTGTTGACACCTGGAGGTCCTGACGACAAGCCCTTGTAAGAGTTGAGTCCACACAGTTGACACCGTGAGTTCACATACATGTCTGGCATTCACTCCACAAGCCACTTTCTTAGGGCGATTATTTCTGGTTTTTTGTCATGTTGCTCAACAGGTGCAAGGAACTTGGGGTGCACCTCTATGTTCCGAAGCCTGTGAAGAGGAAAGTGCTTCTGCGAAGAGTCAAGCAGGCATTGAAGCTCCCGCTGCAGGTGCTCTCTTTTGCTCCAGTATTTCCCGCGAATTTTTTTTTGGAATTGCACCTTCGCTGCACGATGCTGAATGGCCAGGCATCGGACATCCGCACACACACTCTCCGTCGCATGCCGATCATTCCTCCTCTCTCCTTTTCGCAGGATGGGCTGTCCGCCTCAAATTCAAGTGCTTCTGAGGAGGCTTCGGCATCAGCAGCGGCTGAGAGGAGTCTCAAGGTCCTTGTTGCAGAGGACAACATTGTGAACCAGCGGGTAGCCATGACTCTCTTGCGCAAGTGGGGGCACGAGGTGGTTCTGGCTAGTGACGGTGAAGAAGCCGTGGAGAAGGTTCAGGCCGAAGTATTTGATGTGATACTAATGGATGTGAGTATGGCAACAACATTACCTTCACCGTGTGTGTCATTTGGTAAACGATAACATACTGCCCCTTTTGTCGCTCAGTTCACGGTCCCCGCCTGTCCTGCACTCCACTTACCTTCCCCTTCTCCCATGTGCAATATCAGGTGCAAATGCCTGTTTGCGATGGCCTGCAAGCAACCAAGAGAATTCGTGAATACGAGTCCACAACAAAACGCCACACACCCATCATTGCTGTAATGCTCACCCTTTTTATCTCTTGTTTTTCTATTGGCTAAAAGCTGACGGTACAACAGGCAGAATTCTCCACTGTATCTGAAAGCCATTTTTTCCTGCAGATGACAGCACTAGCACTTATCGGAGATGGAGTGAAGTGCATCGAGGCAGGAATGGATTCGTACATGAGCAAGCCTGTAAGTATTTTCGTGCTCTGCTTCTTCACATCTTTGTTGTGACCTCGTGGTCTGAGAAAGTTGCGGGGCCGATTGCTGTCTTTTTTTGTGCAGTTGAACGCATCCAGGCTGAAGGATCTCTTGCGCCTTGTGTGTCAATCACATGTTCTTCCGAAGCCAACCAATGACTGCGCCCGAGATTTCTAATTGGGAGGAACTTTGCATTAGGCATATGTACATAAATGAGTGTTGCTGTAGTATCACTCATGCAAGTGCCATCTGTGCAATAAAATGGGTTTTGTTAGTAGTTTTCACCTTGTAGTTGCAGTGTGCTGTTACTTTTTCACTAGTATTTTGTTGGTGTCACCGACCATGTGATCTCCATAAAGTGATCTCGATTGGTCAGCCATACTGATTCCTGAATCCCTGATTCCTGTTCCTGATCCTTCAAAGCCTTGACTTTCACTTCACGCCACTTCAATTCCATCGTGACCATGAGCGCCTGTGGGATGGATGGAGTGAGTGGGGGTCGGGGGAGGGGGAAAGGAGGAGATGAGAGTGTCATCGAGTCGAGTCGATTCAATAACCGTTCCGTGCATAGTGCAGCAGTTCACCTGGCAGAAAGAGGGGATTCGCAGGGTTCGATACTGCTACAGTATGTTCTGTTCTGTGCGAAGTACAGTGCCCCAAAAGGGATGACTGACGAAATGGAGTACAATACTGGACTCAACTGAACACCTCCTTTCAAAACCAGGTTTCGGAGCCGATTGGCTAGGCTCGATTCCGACTTATCGAGCCTAGCGCACGTTTGGAGAGCCTCCGTCCGCCTTGCGTTGCCCAATCTGTTTGCGCCAAACTCTCCCAGGTCTCGTCGGCCCGTTAGTGTTCCTCCTTCTGGGCAGGCTGGACTGTTGGGCGATATGTTCGGTTAATTACGGTTTACTGAGTTTCTTCTTGGTTGAGAACGCTTGGGTTACACCATCAAGAATGAAATGCTTCCAAAAACGAACGCCAGAAGCTGAGAGCGGCTTGTTCTAAATTTTGAAACGGTTTGGTAGGGTTCTGAGCAGAAATGGGCTCCCACCACGACACACCCTCCCTGTTGATTCTAACGCTGCGGGGGAGCAGATTAGTATCCGTATCTCAGTTATCTCGCCTCGGTCGTGAGCCGTTGCCGTCCTTATGGTTTCGCGGACACGTTAGCCTGTTGCCCGACCAAAGTTTTTTTGAGTAGCGCTGGGCTCGTGGCGCATTAACTTCTGTAATGTTAGCGTCCTCGCGTAAGCGAAAGGGAGGCACTGATTTCTCCATGGTTTTATTTGACCCAGTTTGTTAGTCGCAGCGACATTGGTTGTTCGTCTCTTTTTCGCGTCTGGGGTATGTCAGCGCTCCTCGCTACTCCTTTCACTCGTACGACCAGCGTTCTCCGCATTAGTGGCGGGACGTACTTTTCAGGCGCCTCAGAGCGGGACTGGCTTATAACTTATTAACATTATCCTCGTGACGCGTGTATCTTTTCACATTGTAACGATAAATAAAAAAAGGTTTTCATATTAGCGCTCAGGTTTCGAGACGTAGATAGGTAGGTAGACGTTACGGTCAGGTTTCCAGAGGTCTTAAATTTCTATAAGCTCGGGTAAACGAAGCTCGGGTGCGTGAATGGAAGCAGAGGAGACGGAATGGGTGGCCGGCGGCGGAGTAGGATTAGCAATCGGTGAAGAGGGGTTCGTAAGGGATCAGGTGCTGGCAGGAGGTTCGTCCGTCCATGTCGGCTCGGTAAGACCCGAACCTGCTGGTTCGGGGAAACCGGCCGGACCAGTAAGACGTAGGCCCAAAATGGCCGTGCCTCGGCTGGTTCACTCAAGTTCGGTAAGCGCGCCGAGCCCCAAAACGCCCGTGGTACCAACTCCCGGGAAAAGGATGTTTTCGCGGGCAGCTGGGGCAGGTGAAGAGGCAAAAGGTGAAAAGCTGCAAACCCCAGTGTTTCCTCGGAGTACAAGCGTCAGCCTGCCCGTGAGAAATGTTTTGGTGATCCCGGGTGGAAAGGAGAGGACGGGGAGCGCGGGGGAGGGGGGTAAGCGGCGGGGGGAAGGGCGACGGAGTGAGGGGGAGGGGGAAGGGGGGAAGGAGGATGGGGAAGGGGAGGGATGGAAGGAGAGGCGGCAGGCGCAGGCGGAAGCTGTGACACGTGCCATGCAGCGATTGGACGTTGGGAAGGATGGCAGGGCGGCTGAAGTCGCGGCAACTCCAAGGGTAAGCCACGTAGTAGACGTGACGAAGCTCCATGGTTTGAAAGCTTCAAGCGCATGCTGCAGCGAGCAGAATCTCCTCCCCTCCCCCCTCACACCCTCCCCCCCTCTCCTCCCCACCCCTCCCCGCCCCCCCAACTCCCTCCCCCCCCCCTCCCCCTCCTCTCCTTTCCCCTCATGCATGCTGCGCCGACGAATGCTGCGCCAACGCATGCTGCAGCGAGCAGCAACACCTCCATCCCCGACACCCGCCCCTCTCTTACAGGAGGAGCGTTTGCTCCGCTTGTCCCGCCAGCAGAAGCGCCAACGCATGCTGCAGCGGGCGGCTGCCGCCCTTCCCACCTGCAAACACTCCCCCACCTTTACCCCGCTCCCGCTCCCCGCCTGCAGGAAGAGCGTTCGCTCCGCCTATCCCGCCAGCAGAAGCGCGAACGCATGCTTTTGCGAGCAGCCCCCTCGTCCCCTCACCCCTCCCCTACCCGCTCTCTCTTTCCCTCTGCAGGAGGAGCGTTCGCTCCGCCTATCCCGCCAGCAGAAGCGCCAACGCATGCTGCAGCGGGCGGCTGCCGCCCTTCCCACCTGCAAACAAACCCCCCCTCTCTCCCCCCCCCCGCGTATTTTTACCCCCCTCCCGCTCCCCCCTTGCAGGAAGAGCGTTCGCTCCGCCTATCCCGCCAGCAGAAGCGCCAACGAATGCTGCAGCGGGCGGCTGCCGCCCTTCCCACCTGCAAACAAACCCCCCACTCTCCCCTCCCCCCCGCGCATTTTTACCCCCCTCTCGCTCCCCATTCTCCTTCCCTTAACCATTCCCGCCCTATAGGAGGAGCGTTCGCTCCGCCTATCCCGCCAGCAGAAGCGCCAACGCATGCTGCAGCGGGCGGCGGCCGCCCTTCCCCAGCTGGCGCAGCGCGTGTCGGAAACGCCTCGCTTCCGATTGGACGACTTTCTGGCGGCGCTTGACAGCCTGGCAGCGCTTCGAGGGAAGCTGAGAGCGGCTCTGGAGGCGCAGCAGAGGGAGGAGGAGGACGAGGAGGCGGAGAGGAGGGAAGAGGAGAGGAGGAGGGGGGATAGCGGGGAGGAGAGGAGGGATGGGGAAGAGATGAGGGGTGAGGGTGGAATGGTAGATGGAGAGGGTGGAGGAGTGGGGGAAGGAAGCGGGAAGGGAGGAGGTGGAGATTTTGGGGTAGAAGATGGGGAGGGTGAGAGTGGTCGCAGGGAGGAGGGGGAGGAGAAGGAGGAGGGGGAACAAGAAGTACAAGCAGCTGGTATGAATGAGGTGTCGAGAGGAGGTGAAGGCAATACACGAGTGGATTCAGGTGGTGATGGTGTGGAGGGAGAGGAGGGAGAGGATGGAGAGGAGGGAGAGGAGGGAGAGGATGGAGAGGATGGAGAGGAGGGAGAGGAGGGAGAGGAGGAAGAGGAGGAAGTGGAAGGTGAAGAGCTGGGCAAAGGAGGGATACGGAAAAGGCTACATACGGGCAGTGAAGGAGGAGAAGGGGAGGACAGCGAGGAGGAAACAGAAGAGAGAGATTCTGCGGCAGATAAGATAATGTCCCCTGCTCCTGCTACTGTGTCCCCTGCTGCTGATATCTCTCCTGCTGCTGCTCTTCCCGTGCTACAATGGGATGTACTTATAAGCGTGGAGGCAGTTATCGAGGATGCCCTGATGCTGCTGGAAGAGGAGTTTGAAGCGACTCTCTCCAAGCACGGGTGGGTTTCTTCTTGTCCTATCTGGCTCTAAGCTGGGATGCCATCTGCGTGCGTTCTAAGTTGGCTCCCAAACCACACCACCAGGATGCCCTGATGTTGCTGGAAGAGGAGTTTGAAGCGACTCTCTCCAAGCACGGGTGTGCTGAGGTGTGTTGGGTCTTCGTCGGTGTGTTCTGAGCTGCCCCAAACCACACCACCAGGATGCGCTGATGCTGGTGGAAGAGGAGCTTGAAGCGACTCTTTCCAAGCACGGGTGGGTTCTTATTTATCCTATCTGCCTTCTAGGTGTGTATCTGAATCGACTCAAACCACACCAGGATGCGTTGACGTTTCTGGAAAAGGAGATTGAAGCGACTCTGTCCAAATACGGGTGGGTCTTTTGATCTAACTTCTATCCTCCGAATCAGAGCATTCCATGTATGCGCCTTCCCCCACCCCATTTCCCCCTTCCAACAACCCTGCCCCCTCCCCCCTCCCCCTTCCCCCTCATTCTCTCTGCAGCAAACCTCTGGACCTTCCAACGCTCAAATCCGCCCTGTACACTCAGAATTTCGCAGCTGGTGCTGCTAGTGCAGCTGCTGGTGGTGCTGGTGCAGGGGCAGCAGGGGGAGCAGGGGGAGCGCCCTCGCTTTGCGCACGTAGAGCACAGGCATCACCCCCATCACCACCCGTTTCACCTGCACTCTCAGACTTCTTCCTCCTCTCTCACACCCCCAAACATCTTCCTTTCCTATCCGTCCCCCTCTCCTCCCTCTTCCCCTTTCAGCAAACCTCTGGACCTCCCAACGCTCAAATCCGCCCTCCACGCCCTGAATTTCGCCACTGCTGCTGCTGCGGGTGCTGCTAGTGAAGCTGCTGGTGGTGCTGGTGCAGGGGCAGCAGGGGGAGCGCCCTCTCTCCGTGCCCGTAGAGCAACAGGCGTCACCCCCATCACCACCCGTTTCACCCGCACCTCTTCTGATTTCTCCCTCTCTGCTTTCCTTCCCCCCGTTTCGCCCCCCTTCCCCGTGCAGTGCAGCAAGCCTCTAGATCTCGCAACACTAAAGTCCGCCCTTCATGCCCAGAATTTCGCCACTGCAGCTGCAGCTGGTGCTGCTGGTACAGGGGCAGCAGGGGGAGCGCCCTCTCTCCGTGCTCGTAGAGCCACGGGCATTGCCCCCATCACCACCCGTTTCACTCGCACCTCCTCCGACTTCTCCCTTGCTGCTCTCACACCCCCACCCAAACCTCTCCCTCTCCTTTCCTTCCCCACTCTTCCCCTCCCTTCTCCCTCTTTCCCTCTCTTCCCCGTGCAGCAAGCCACTGGACCTTCCAACACTAAAGTCCGCCCTTCATGCCCAAAATTTCGCCACTGCAGCTGCTGTGGGTGCTGCCAGCGCTGGTGCAGGGGCAGCAGGGGGAGCGCCCTCGCTTCGGGCCCGTAGAGCGACAGGCGTCACCCCCATCACCACCCGTTTCACTCGCACCTCCTCTGACTTCTCCCTTGCTGCTGCCGCATCTGCTAGAGGGAACATCAGCACTACCCCCACCAACCAGAGTAATTCGACCAAGTACCCTGAACACGCCCTTGTTAGCCCGCTTGCTCACCGCGGCTTACCTTCTGCCTCTGCTGCTGCTGGCTTTGCTGCTGGTGCTGCTGGCTTTGCTGCTGGTGCTGGTGCTGGTGTTCCTCGTAGCCCTGTTGGCCTGACTACCGGCCCACGGTCCCCTGGGCTGCGCACGTCGGGACAGAACTTGCCGCCCTGTTCACCATCATCCCGTCGTCTTTTTGCCGCCCATCATCCTCACCACCATCATCATCATTCTCAGCAGCAGCTGGATTGGCAACAGCAGCAGCAGCAGCAGCAGCAGCACCAACACCAACACCATCAGCAGCACCATCAGCAATATCATCAACACCTGCAGCACCAGCAGCACCAGCAGCAGCACCAGCAGCAGCAGCACGGGCATAGGCCTGATCAGGGCAGGTTATGGAAATCGTCCTCTAGTTTCCTGTTTGATGATCCCATGATGATCGAGTTCAATGCGTCTCTTGCTGATGCTGCTGCTGCCGTTGCCGGCACTGCTCCTGCTCCTGCCGCCGCTGCTGCTGCTGATGGTGCTGCTGCTTCTGCTGCTGCGGTTGCTGATGGCAGTGCTAGTGCCGGCGGCGGCGTTGCTGCTACAGATGGAACACATGGCACTCCAATCATTAGCCCCACAGGCGTCTACTCCAACAACAGCAACAGCACCTACACTAACAGTAACCCGAGCCTCAAGACCAGGTCCGGTGGTAACCGCATTCTCATCCCCGTAAGCGTAACCGGCAGCAGCACAGGCAGCGAACCTCCCACTGAAAGCCCTACGGCCCAGCAACCGCCTCTTCTCTCCCCTCCTTGTTCTGACGCCTCTCCTCCCTCTAACCTCATCAAGACTCTCAGCAGCAGCAGCAGCAGCGCCAGCAGCACGGGTTTCTTGTCCCAGGACCAATCGGGGCACTTGAGTGCTGCTGCTGCTGCTGCCGCTGCCGCTGCTGTTGGTGGTGGTGCGTCTGGTGGTCTCTGGCCTATGCATTCCGGACCCCTTCCCTCCACAGCGGCTTCTAACTCACCCTACGCATCCCCATACACTTCCGGTTACATTCCCCATAACGCATATGCTTATAACGCGGTTGGTTCTTCTTCCTTCTCTGCCTCTCCCTCCTCCTCGTCTGCCTCCCCCTATGCGCGCCCCACTCCCCCCCGCATCACCATCCCTATCCATCCGGACGAGGACGACGCCGAGTCTGACGCCAACGACCTCCCGAACCTGACTCCAGGTTCGGCAGCCAGGTCCGGGGGCGCCAAGCCTGTGAATCATCCGGGGCAGGAGGCTCGGTCGTCTACGGGTCAGGAGGATAAGAGGAAAAGCAGACAGCCTATCAGGGCTATTAGCAACATCGTTTACGGCAGCAGCAGCAACAACAGCAGCAGCAGCAGCAGCAGCAGCACCACCACCACCACCACCATAAGCAACAGCATAAGTAACTCCAATACCCCAAGGTCTGCTGCTGAAAGCAATTCTTCCGTAGCTGTAGGACCTCAGTCTCTGCCCTCTTCTCTCCATCCTTCCCCCGCCCTATCTCCATCCCCTACCGCTGCCGCCTCTGCTGCCGCTGCTGCTGGTGCTGCTAATGCCCCCTCTGATGCTGCTGGTGTTGGTGCTGTCAACACTGCTGCCGCTGCCGCCATTACCCCACCCGCTGCTACTACTCAGCCTCGACTGGTTGCTTTCTCATCTCCCATGCTCGAAGCAGGGAGGGAAGCAGGGGGGGCAGGAGGGGGAGCAGGAGGGGCAGCAGGAGGGGCAGCAGGAGGGGGGGTGGGGGGAGTGGATTGGCGGGTTGCGTTTAGCGAGTGGGGGGAGTGGTTACCAGTGGCAGAGATTGGCTGGTTACGCAAGATGGCCACACGGATCGTTGCGATTGGTGGGCTCACTCGCTGCTGTGCTAGATATTGGTGAGTGTGTTGTGTGCGTGCGTGTGTATTTGCTTGTATGCAAGCATGTGTGAGTGGGGGGAGTGGTTACCAGTGGCGGAGATTGGCTGGTTACGCAAAATGGCCATGCGGATTGTTGCCATTGGTGGGCTTACTCGCTGCTGTGCAAGATACTGGTGAGTGAGTGAGTGAGTGAGTGAGTGTGTGAGTGAGTTAGTGAGTGAGTGAGTGTGTGGAGTGAGTTTGTGCATGCACACATGTGTGAGAGTGTGTGCACGTGCACGCATGGGTCGGTGGGTGCGTGCATGCATGCGTGCGAGCGAGTGTGTGTGTGTGTGTGTGTGTGTGTGTGTGTGTGTGTGTGTGTGTGTGTGTGTGTGTGTGTGTGTGTGCGTGCCGTGTGCATGTGCCTCTCCCTAAATCTTCCACTTATGAATACATCCTGCTTATATATGTTGGTCGCTTCGAAACTCTCATGAATGAGCCACTTCGATCACTGCGAGGTGACTTTTGAGTCGACTCAAAAGTCACCTCAATGAGGCACTTCGATCATTGCATTGCACACTCATCGCCCACGCCACGCGCTCTCCTGATGCTGCAGGGTGTTTTTGAGAATTCTCAAAAACACCCCGCTTCGAAACTCTCATGAATGAGCCACTTCGATCGTTGCATTGCACACTCATCACCCACGTCACGCGCTCTCCTCCCATGCTTCTGCCCGCCCTCCCATCCGCCTTGCGTCCTTCCTGTCTTCCGTCTTCCGCAGCGCCGCCCGTGGCCCGAGCATAGCGAGTGGCACGGCTTGTCTTGACCTGAAGGAGCGCAGCGTTGCTGAGCTGGAGGCCATGCCGTGGAGCCAGCTGGAGCCCACCATCAAGACGTGGCTGAGAGACGCCAACATACTGGTAGGTTGTGTGTGAATGATGAATGTGTACTTGTGTGTATGTGTGTGTATGTGTGTGTATGTGTGTGTATGTGTGTGTATGTGTGTGTATGTGTGTGTATGCCTGGGGACTGTGACAGAGGCCATGCCGTGGAGCCAGCTGGAGCCCACCATCAAGACGTGGCTGAGAGACGCCAACATACTGGTATGTCTGTGAATGGGTGGATGGTTGGGTGAATGATGACCGTCCCTGTGCATGTGTGTGTGTGGGTTTGCCACTCACTGTGAGGAACCCACCATCAAGACATGGCTGAGAGATGCCAACATACTGGTTAGTCATGCCCATACCCACCACATGCATACCGGTAACTGGTGTGTTCGTGGTGGGTGGTGTGTGTGTGCCCCTGTATCACTGTGAGCTGGAGGCCGTGCCGTGGAGCCAGCTGGAGCCCACCAGCAAGACATGGCTGAGGGATGCCAACATACTGGTATGCAAGGGGTGAAAGGGGCGTGTGTCCGTGTGCTGCATGTGTGTGGAGCGGGTGGGTGTGGCACTCAGGGGAGTGGATGGGTAGGTCACTGAGTATAGCGGTGTTCGTATGGTGTGTGTTGCTGTGTTCCTCCTTCACTTCGGATTCGAGTGCTACTGGAGGGAAAGCGCCTCCTCTGCGAGGTGTTTTTGAGAATTCTCAGAAACGCCTTCTCTGCGAGGCAGTCCTAGAGGACGCCCCGGAGCTCAATCTTTACGCACCCCTTCCCCCCACCTTACCCCCGTCTCCCTCTCTTTACCCGTTCCCTCGTTTCCCCCTCAACATACCAGATCCGTGTGCTACTGGAGGGAGAGCGCCTCCTCTGCGAGGCAGCCCTAGAGGACGCCCCAGAGCTCAGTCTCTAACCCACGCCTATCCTCCCCCTCCTCTCTCCCTGTCTCCACCCCTCTTCTCCCCACTTCCCCCTCTCAACGTTTCAGATCCGTGTGCTACTGGAGGGAGAGCGTCTCCTCTGTGAGGCAGTCTTAGAGGACGCACTGGAGGCAGTCTTAGAGGACGCACTGGAGGCAGTCTTAGAGGACGCACTGGAGGCAGTCTTAGAGGACGCACTGGAGGCAGTCCTAGAGGACGCACTGGAGGCAGTCCTAGAGGACGCACTGGAGGCAGTCCTAGAGGACGCACTGGAGGCAGTCCTAGAGGACGCACTGGAGGCAGTCCTAGAGGACGCACTGGAGGCAGTCCTAGAGGACGCACTGGAGGCAGTCCTAGAGGACGCACTGGAGGCAGTCCTAGAGGACGCACTGGAGGCAGTCTGAAGCTCGCCCCTCCCCCCCCCCACCTTTTTCCCAGTGCTACTGGAGGGAGAGAGAGGTCCTAGAGGACGCCCCAGGGCTCAGTCTTTTGACCTACCCCTTTCCCCCTCCCTCCCCCCATCTCGTTTCCCCTAACCCCCGGTCTTCTCTTCCTTTTAACCCCCCTTCCTTCACCTCAGATCCGTGTGCTACTGGAGGGAGAGCGTCTCCTTTGTGAGGCAGTCTTAGAGGACGCCCCAGAGCTCGATGCGGGCGGCGTCTATCGGCAGCTTCTGTCGGCGTCGCTGTGCGTGGAGGGCTCGGTCGGCAAGCTGGCCGGCACGGCTCGTTCCATTGCCGGGCTGACGCGGTCCCCTGAGAAAGTCTTTAGCTTCATGGAGATGTTCCGAGCGGCGACAGGGCTGAGGGAGCAGGTGAGTGTGATGGTAGGGAAGGGAAGCAGGTGAGGTGTGGCGGGGGAGCAGAAAGGATAGAACTGGTGAATATCGTTAATTGATTCAAGTGAAGGCAGGGCCCTCGAGGTCCCCTGAGAAAGTCTTTAGCTTCATGGAAATGTTCCGAGCGGCAACTGGATTGAGGGAGCAGGTGAGGGAAGGAGAGGGAAGCAGGTGGCATGTAACAGTGTACGTGTGGGCGAGGGACAGGCTGCACGGCTCTCCCAGTGACCCGGTTGGTCCCCTGAAGAAGTCTTTAGCTTCATGGAGATGTTCCGGGCGGCAACTGGATTGAGGGAGCAGGTGAGTATTTATGTGGGGACTGGGGTGGAATGATCAGGACTCAGGACAGGGCTAGTGGAGGGAGCTCAACTGCGGACCGGGGTTGCTCGTTCCATTGCGGGGCTGACTGATCTGGTCCCCCGAGAAAGTCTATAGCTTCATGGGGATGTTCCGGGCGGCAACTGGATTGAGGGAGCAGGTGAGGGGTGCAGGGGAGGGAGGTTATGAAGGACTGATGAAAAGAGACAATTCAAGTCAAGTCAAGTCAGGTCAGTTTCTTGCTGTCCTTGAAGGACTGACGCAGGTCCCCTGAGAAGGTGTTGAGCTTCTTTCATGGAGATGTTCCGAGCTGCCACAGGGCTGAGGGAGCAGGTGAGGTGAAGGGAGCATGTGGTGTGTGGGAGCAAGAGCGGTTAGGGAGCAGGTGAGGTTAGGGAGGGAAGGGAGCATTGGCGGAGGCCCTTGCTGCTGCCCTCATGACCTCTGCGGTGTTTGCTCGTGGCCTCGGGGGATTTCACAATCGACCTCAATATCTCCTCCCATCCACTCTCTTCCCCCTTCTCCAGGTGCAATCCGTGCTCATAGCAGCGGCAGACTTAGACGATTTTTGAGGCGCCTCAAAAACTCCTCCCATCCACTGTCTTCCCCCCTTTCCAGGTGCAATCCGTGCTGATAGCAGCGGCAGGGGCGGGAGGAGGTTCTCTGTGGCCGCATTGGCAGGCCCTCCCTGCCCTCCTCGCCTGTGCCGTATTTGTTCGAGTATACCCACAAACTTGATACTTCTTCTCTCCCCTCTCATTCCTCCCGTTTCCAGGTGCAATCCGTGCTGATAGCAGCAGCGGGGGTGGGAGGGGGTTCCCTATGGCCGCAGTGGCAAGCCCTCCCAGCCCTCCCAGCCCTCCCAGCCCTCCTAGCATGTGCCGTGCTCGGTTGAGAATACATCAACTTGACTCCTCTTCTCTACCCCACCTTCCCCTCCCTTTCAGGTGCAATCCGTGGTGATAGCAGCAGCGGGGGTGGGAGGAGGCTCTCTGTGGCCGCAGTGGCAAGCCCTCCCTGCCCTCCCTGCCCTCCTGATACACACGTTGCTTGTTTGAGAATACACACGACCTCAATCCCTCGTTTCCCCCCCACATTCCTCCCGTTTCCAGGTGCAATCCGTGCTGATAGCAGCAGCAGGGGTGGGAGGGGGTTCTTTATGGCCACAGTGGCAAGCCCTCCCAGCGCTTCTAGCATGTGCCGTGTTCGAGACAATAGACGAGCTCAACAGCACACTGAGACACGTGGATGGACTGACTCCGGCGGCTATGCCCTCGCCTGTCGCTCCTAAGAAGAAGCTTCTAAGCAGGTGCGTGTATACATTCTGATTAGTTTGTTTGTGTGGATCTCCTCGCATGCGCCATGTTTGGGACGATGGACGAGCTCAGCAGGCGGGGTGGGCAGCAGGCCCTCCGGCCCTCCTCGCCTGTGCGGTGTTTGGGACGATAGACGAGCTCAGAAGCACGCTGAGGGATGTGCATGGGTTCACCCCAGCTGCCATGCCCTCTCCCCGGCCGCCTTGCCCTTTCCCATCACTCCCAAGAAGAAGCTTCTCAGCAAGTTTGTCCAAAGCCGTCTAAGCAGGTTTGTGTGGCCCTCCTCGCCTGTGCGGTGTTTGGGACGATAGACGAGCTCAGCAGCACGCTGAGGGATGTGCATGGGCTCACCCCAGCTGCCATGCCCTCTCCCCGGCCGCCTCACCCCAGCTGCCATGCCCTCTCCCCGGCCGCCTCACCCCAGCTGCCATGCCCTCTCCCCGGCCGCCTCACCCCAGCTGCCATGCCCTCTCCCCGGCCGCCTCACCCCAGCTGCCATGCCCTCTCCCCAGCCGCCTCACCCCAGCTGCCATGCCCTCTCCCCGGCCGCCTCACCCCAGCTGCCATGCCCTCTCCCCAGCCGCCTCACCCCAGCTGCCATGCCCTCTCCCCGGCCGCCTCACCCCAGCTGCCATGCCCTCTCCCCAGCCGCCTCACCCCAGCTGCCATGCCCTCTCCCCAGCCGCCTCACCCCAGCTGCCATGCCCTCTCCCCGGCCGCCTCACCCCAGCTGCCACGCCCTCTCCCCGGCCGCCTCACCCCAGCTGCCATGCCCTCTCCCCGGCCGCCTTGCCCCAGCTGCCACGGATCATACACAAGCCCATGCACACCCCTCAGTGTGCTGCTTAGCACGGAGAAGAGGACTCTATCTGTGCTCACCTAGACACCTCACTCTGCCTCCTCCTCGCCACCTCTGTTTCACATCCATCCTCACTCACCCTCCACTCAACACTCCCCTTTGCTCGCAGGATAATTTCCTGGAAGGCGCAGGAGGTGAAGAGCCAGAGCGGGGAGGACGTGGACGTGTCGGTACACGCGGTTACCAGCTACGTGGTCAACTACATAGGGCAGCTGTTGGACAGGTAGGTATATACCCCGTACGGTACTGGCAATTGCAGGTAGATCATGAGGCGTGGACGTGTCGGTACACGCGGTTACCAGCTACGTGGTCAACTACATAGGGCAGCTGTTGGACAGGTAGGTATATACCCCGTACGGTACTGGCAATTGCAGGTAGATCATGAGGCGTGGACGTGTCGGTACACGCGGTTACCAGCTACGTGGTCAACTACATAGGGCAGCTGTTGGACAGGTAGGTATATACCCTGTACGGTACTGGCAATTGCAGGTAGATCATGAGGCGTGGACGTGTCGGTGCATGCGGTTACCAGCTACGTGGTCAACCACACAGGGCAACTATTGGACGGGTATGGGCTGATATAGCGGCTGGTTACCATTACCAGCAGTTACCAGCTGGATCATGTGATGGTAACTGCCGCACATGGGTGTGGACGTGTCAGTCCTCACAATTACCAGCTACGTCGTCAACTACATGGAGCAGCTATTGGATAGGTATGTCTTATGTACTAAAGTAATCACCTGTTGGAGCATGTCGCAAACGCAAACGAGTTACCAGCTACGTTGTCAATCGTATGGGCCAGATCACTATACTCTTGGAATAGGTATGTGCTGATAGCGGTTACCAGCTGTGCTTTCATCGTAGCGCACAACTGCTCGACAGGTACGTATCGGCTGATAGCAGAGCAGTACCAGCTGTTATTGGCCAGAGCATGGGCGCACACATGTCGTCGGTGCATGCGGTTACCAGCTACGTGGTCAACTACATAGGGCAACTGCTAGACAACTAGGCAGGGCAAATGGTGAGCGGGTGTGGATTGGTGGTTGTCTGAGGGAAGTTTGACTTGAATGTGCCGGTGCATGCGGTTACCAGCGGTTACCAGTGGTTACCAGCCATGTTGTCAATACATAAGCAACTGCTGACATGTACGCCTATCAGAAGTAACGATTGGATATGTGTCAGTCAGCAGAGGATACTCACCTCACCCCTCCCCCTCGATATCGCCTCCCTTCCCCATCCTTCCCATTACCGTCCCCCAGAACCTCTCGAGCCAACGACTGCGCTGTGCTGGAGGAGATTTACCGGAGCCACTGAGAGAACGCACTTTCATCCCTCTCCCACCCCGCCCGCGCTCATCCCCTTCCCCCCAGAACCTCTCGAGCCAACGACTGCGCTGTGCTGGAGGAGATCTACCGGAGCCACGGGGCTGACCATTTGAAAGAGTCCAGCAGCAGGCAGCAACTGCTCGCCCCCTTTTCCCTTGTGTCCCTCTCACCACCCTCAGAACTTCCCGTGCCAACTACTGTGCTGTGCTGGAGGAGATTTACCAGAGCCACGGAGCCGACCATTTGAAAGAGCCCAGCAGCAGCAGCAACTGCTGTCCCCCTTTTCCCTTCTGTCCCTCTCACCTCCCTTGCAGGGCCTCTCGAGCCAACTACTGCGCTGTGTTGGAAGAGATTTACCAGTGCCACGGGGCCGACCATTTGAAAGAGCCCAGCACCAGGCATCAACTGCTCGCCCCCTTTCCTTATCTGTCCCTCTAACCACCCTCAGAACTTCCCGTGCCAACTACTGTGCTGTGCTGGAGGAGATTTACCAGAGCCACGGAGGGAACACATTTCAATCTCCCCTCATTCCCCCGCTCTTCTTCCACCCATTCCTCTCCATACTTCTTATTCCGTCCCCCAGAACCTCTCGCGCCAACTACTGTGCTGTGTTGGAAGAGATTTACCAGAGCCACGGGGCCGACCATTTGAAAGAGCCCAGCAGTAATAGCAGCAGCAGCAGCCAGCACCCCGGCCATGCGCCACAGACGCCCGTGCAGGGAGCTGCAGGGACGCCCAAGGAAGCGGCACCTCTCCAATACGCTGCTCCTGCTGCTGCTGCTGCTGCTGCTGTTGCCACTCCAGATGTCCCGTCCAACTTTCCTACTGCCCTAGAGTCCGCTCCTGCTGCCGCTGCCCCTGCTGCTGCCACTGCTGCTGCTGCTGCCGCTGCTGCTGGAACCCCCAAGGAAAAGGCTCGGGATAGCCAGAATGCTCTTGGCGGCGGTGGCGGCAGCAGCGGTGGTGGTAGTACTAGTGGTGGGAGGAAGGGCAGGGGGGTGGGTGGGCGGCAGAGGAAGAGGCAGCTGGGGGCGGACATGGAGGCACTGTTGGATGCGCTCTATTTCAACATGGAGGCACGCGGGAGGACTATCGCAGATGGCCCTTTGTCTGCACTGTTTGTTCTCAACAACGCCAACTACATCGCTTCTTCCATGTGAGTTGCAGCTCTTGTGATTGGGTGTGCTGAGCGGTACAGTGCGGTACAGAGGCGGAGGAAAAGGCCCATAATGAGTGATACCGTACGGCAGGGAGGCAGAGGAAGCGGCAACTGGGGAACATTGAGGCACTGCTGAATGCGCTCTGTTTTAATATGAGAACGTCTGAATGCCTGTCAATCCATCCTGCCCTTTCCCCACCCCCTGCCCTCCTCTTTCTCTCCTCCTCTCCTCGTTTCTGCCTCCTAATCCCTGAGAATCTCGAATTGCGAGTCGCTTCTAAGCCAACCTCCCTCCTCCCTCTCCCCACCTGTCCCCGTTTTTCTGCCAGCTCCTCTTGTCGAATGTGAGACAGATTCACCAGTTGGACCGCAGTGGAATAACAGCAGGCGTGTTATCGATCTTAAACCGCGAGTGTTTTCTAAGCTATTCTCCCTCCCTCCTCTCCAAACCTTTGTCTTGCCAGCTCCTCGAGTCGAATGCGCGACGCCACCCGCCACTCCGACCGAAGGAGTGCAGCACGCGTCTAAGAGCGTCTCTAAACGCCTGTCCACCACCTCTTTCTCCACTCCGCTCCCCTTGTCCCTCCCAGCTCCTCCGGTCGAATGCGGGACGCCATTCGCCACTCAGACCGCCTGGCAGACTACGAGTCCGCCTTTGAGAGAGCAGCACTGTGCAAGGTATGTAGGGGAGTGTGCTGCTTTGAGAAGGCAGGTCTGCGATTGTTCTCCCCCCCTCCGCCACTCAAACCGCCTGGCAGACTACGAGTCCGCCTTTGAGAGAGCAGCGCTGTGCAAGGTATGTAGGGGAGTGTGCTGCTTTGAGAAGGCAGGTCTGCGATTGTTCTCCCCCCCTCCGCCACTCAGACCGCCTGGTAGACTACGAGTCCGCCTTTGAGAGAGCAGCGCTGTGCAAGGTATGTAGGGGAGTGTGCTGCTTTGAGAAGGCAGGTCTGCGATTGTTCTCCCCCCCTCCGCCACTCAGACCGCCTGGCAGAATACGAGTCCGCCTTTGAGAGAGCCGCCCTGTGTAAGGTATGTAGGGAGGGGGGGAGTGTGGTCTTGGGGGGGACAGGCCTGCGCTCCCATGTGATCGTGCACCCTCTCCCATCCCATCCGCCACTCCGACCGCCTGGCAGACTACTATGCAATGTATGATGCGGAAGTCATCATGCCTTTGCTTTTTATGTGCCCTCACCTCATGATCTCGCCCCTGCCTTGCTATCATGTGCCCTCTTTCCATCCCATCTGCCTCTCCTACTCCCTGGCAGACTACGAGTCGGCCTTTGAGAGAACAGCACTTCGCAAGGCATGACCAGCAACTCACCGCTCTGTTGTTCTCGTGCACCCTAGCCCACCACACCCCACCGCACTCTATCCCATCGCATCCCAACCCCATCCCATCAGCTGCTGGCATGCTTGGAGCCATTGGAAGTTAGTGCCAAGATGAATGAACTTCCTACTTCCAACCCATTGAAACCCATCCCACCCCACCCGACCCCATCTCACTCCACCCCACCCCATCCCACCCCTTCAGCTGCTGGCGTGCTTGGAGCCACTGTGAGTGAGCGCCAAGATGAGTTGACATCCCCCCACCCCACCCCAACCCCACTTCACCCCACTCCACCCCACTCTACCCAACCCCATCCCATCAGCTGCTGGCGTGCTTGGAGCCATTGGAAGTGAGTGCCAAGATGAGTGGGGACGGCGTGAAGCAGCGGTGAGTGCACTAATGGTAGTGCCGAGGGCATGATAGTGGGTGCACTGAGGGCAGAACGGTCAGATGCACTCACCCCACACCACGTCTCCCCATCAGCTGCTGCCATGCTTGGAGCCATTGGAAGTGAGCGCCAAGATGAGTGCCGACGGCGTCAAGCAGCGGTGAGTGCAGTGAGGGTGGTGCTGAGGGCATGACAGTTGGTGCACTGATCTGAGGGCACAACGGCGGGTGCACTCACTTGATGCCTGAGTTGATGCCTGAGTTGCTTTGAAGTCAAGATGGGTGTTTGATGGCACAACACAATGGGTGTTGCAGTCAAATTTGGCTGTATGCATGCAAGAATGTCATTGTCTCCCCATCCACCTCGCTCATCCATCCTCTCGCCCATCTTTCCGAATCCCCATCCACCTTCCGGCTCCCCAAACCCCGGGGTTTGAAGCGGTTCAATGCGGTGTTTGATGAGGAGGTGGCACTGGAGCAGCGGCTGCGGCTCGAACTGTTATGCTTGCATGCCCCTATCGATGCCTCGCTTCATAACCACATATACGCATGCTCCACCATCCCGTGCAGTTTGAAGCGGTTCAATGCGGTGTTTGAGGAGGTGGCACTGGAGCAGCGGCGGTGGCTCGTGCTCAGCGACAGCTGTCGCAAGGCCATGCGCGTGCGGTTCGCCAAGGTCATCAAGGGATCCTATATGGACTTCCTCACTCCCCACAGGTGAGTGTGTGACGGCTGTTCTGTTACCTTCCAAGTCAGGAAATGATTATTGTGCTTCTCTAAAAATCATATAATGATAAATGTTGCTTTTGTATCTCTGTGGATGTGTGTGGACTAAACTGTTGTTTTTCAGGGAAATAATCTCGGATATCCCAACGTACCATTGGTCCCCCGATGGAGTGGAGAGAATCATTTTGAAGAGTTTCTTCCTCGGTCGGAGCCTCCCTTGCGTGATGTCGGCTTGACTCAACGCTTAACACTTTTCAAGACACTACCATCTCTGTTTGACAACCTGAACAAGACCTTTAGGGTTAACAGCTTCCTCTGAATTGGGTTTGTGTTACATTTGTGTAGCAAATGTGTATTGAATTTGCCTTAGGAATCTTGTAAGTTCTGCTAATATCAACTGTAACTAACTGTAAGGAAAATCCCTTTTCCTTACTTCGCATCCCTGCTCAACGCGTATATCACTGTAGCACCTCAGTCAGCACCGTTACCACTCGCGATCATCGCATCGACAATCATCCTGCTATTTTTCGCACATCGCATCCCGACCTCACGGCTCGGCTGGTAACCCGCGCTCCGGGCCTACGCCTCGACACTTTCCCAACCTCAGTCCCAGGCTCGTCGCGCGACTATCACAGACCATTACCGTTACCACTGTAGTTTCGCTATATATTCTTCGCTCACGCCCTCGCTCATTGTATTCTTGCTTCGATAGTGCAATTCTCGTTCGTTCACTCAATTGCACTCGTAACACTTGGTTATCAGAGCCTACGATCTCAGCTCGGACCGCATCCACACCTTCGCTTCCCCACTATCTCAATTTTTTGGGGGGGGTAGACGTCTCTCAGCGATACAGCACCGCCGCTCGTAGTGCTCTCTCGCAAGCACGCACGGCCACGACCGAGGCTCTCGCTGAGCTTGCCCGACACCCCCGCCATGGCCGATTTCACGCTCGCCACATTAACGCAGGAGCAACTTGATCGTCTCATGCGTCAACTGGAAGATTCAGCGCTCGAAATCGCGACGCTTACGGCGGAACGTGACTCCGCCCGTCAACAGTCCACGGTGAACGTTCCGACGACATCACACACACCAACAAATGTATCGGCACATTCGGATGAACCGATCGTCATCTCGTCCGGCACACCAACACAACACGACAGCATGGGACAACGCTCAGGCACAACCAGTAATGGCGCCGCCCAGCCGATGCCTGGCATGGGAGGAAACAGGATCGCACCAAGCCCGCGGGAGCCCCGAGAAGCCCGTCGGCACGTGGAATTTGCGGCGACAAGTGGCGAACAAGCCATCATGGCACCAATGCCGCTCAAGCCGCAACGCCCGCCCTGCTTCAACCCAAGCCAACGCGGCGGTCCGACGGTTCAATCGTGGGTCTTCACGATGAACGTCTTCTTCGACGCAAATTACGTCGAGTCGGACGCCGCGAAGATCCGGTATGCAGTTTCACTGCTAAGGGGCCCCGCCATGGACTGGTGGCGAGTCATCGTGACGTCGCCACGCGCCTACGAGCCACCGTCGCACGAGGAAGGGCCCACGGGTCCAGCTGTCACCTGGAGTTCGTTCTGTGAGACCGCCCAATACAGCACGTGGGATGCGTGGTGCGCAGGGCTTCGGGCGCGTTTTGAGCCGATCGCGGCTTCAATTTCGGCGCGTCAGAGATTGCGCACTTGGCACCAGCTCGGGTCAGTTCAAGATTATACAAGCGGTTTTCTCGCACTTTGCGAGCAGGTCGGCTACATGCACGAAGCGGAGCGGGTGGACCGTTATGTCGGAGGGCTCAAGCCGAATATCTCGCACGAAATAATGCTGCGCGGACTCTCTAATTTTAACGAGATTCTCGCGCTCGCCGAGAAGATCGACATTCTACGCCGACCGAGACCGGGGTCCTATTACGGACATCGCCCTCGGGGACCGACCGAGCACGCCACTGTACACGCCGTTGCAACAAATGCAGCTGCCGCACCGTTTAAAGGGCCCTGCTTTGCTTGCAACAGGCCGGGCCATCGCAAGAGCGAATGCCCAGAGGAGCTGAGGCGCCGAGGAGCAGAGCAGGGGAGGGAGTCTCAGAGGCAGGGAAACGCCAGCAGTCAGTAGAAGTTGGGCCAACTACTGACGAGACTGCCTGCTCGCCCAACCACACCGACCCTCACCGAGTCACAGTACCGATTCACGCCATCGATCGAGCTCGGATAAATAAGGAGGGTACAGCGACGGATTGCCCGGTACTGATCCACGGGAAAATACATGGAGCAGCAGTGAAGATTTTTATTGACGGGGGAGCAAGTCACAGCTTAGTTAATACCGCAACCGCACGGAAATTACAATTAACACTTAACCGATGCTTACCTGAGATAGATGCATGCTTAGTCGACGAAACGCCACTAGCCATACGGGAAAAGGTGGAGCGAGTAAAAGTTCGCTGCGGAGGAAACTTCGGGTTTACACAGGAAATGCTCGCAACGACACTGGATGGGCACGACATTTTACTGGGACGTGATTGGCTACGACGGTATAACCCGCGAATTGACTGGACGACGGGTAGCTGCACAGTGCGAAATAGTGGTAACTGGGTCGTCCTACCTCGCTGGCAGCCACCCGAGTCTTCGACGGTCCAGGTCAACGCCATCACGATGAAACGGGCTGTCGCTGCTGGAGCTGACGTGTACGCAGTGGATATAGCATTAGTGCAAGAAGAGGAGCTGCCGAGCGATTTTCAGAAACTATTGGCAGCTGTACCACCCGAACTTCAGGCACTACTGAAACGATTCCCGGGTATCTTTCTGGATGACTTACCACAAGGGCTGCCACCTCAGCGCGCGCATGACCATAGGATCGAGTTAGAACCGGGGGCACAGCCAACTGTACAGCGCCAGTTCAGACTGACACAGCCCGAGCTCGACGAACTAAGGAAGCAGTTAGATTATCTGTTAGAGAAGCAATTTATCCGACCGAGCTCGTCACCGTTCGCCGCACCGATACTGTTCACACCGAAAAAAGACGGAGGGTTTCGCATGTGCATCGACTACCGAGCGCTTAACAGTGTAACAGTCAAATCACGGTACCCCATCCCCCGCGCCGACGAACTGATCGACCAGTTACGAACCGCATGGGTATTTTCGAAAATAGACTTACAAGGAGGTTACCATCAGATTCGGGTCGAACCATCGGACTGCGCCAAGACAGCATTTAGAACTAGGTACGGGTCATTCGAGTATACGGTGATGCCTTTCGGGCTGACCAACGCGCCCGCCACATTTCAAATGACCATGAACGAGGCATTTAGGCCACTTTTAGATAAATGCGTGATAGTTTACCTTGGCGACATTCTCGTTTACAGTCGGGACAAGCAGCAGCACTTAGTCGATCTCGAAGCAGTTTTTAAAATTTTAGCGGAACATCGGTTACTCACCAAGGGCTCCAAGTGCGAGTTTTTTCGGGACAGACTAGAATTTTTAGGACACGTTATTTCGGAGGCTGGAGTTGAAATCGACCCTAAGAAGTTGGATACAGTCAACGCGTGGCGTCCCCCGACGAACATCACGGAACTGCAGAGTTTTTTAGGGTTCGTTAATTACGTCCGTCGGTTCGTCCCCGACATGGCACGCTTAACAGCCCCACTCACAGATTTACTGCGTAAGGGTGTCGTTTTTACGTGGGGGGAGAAAGATCATGCTGCCTTCTCTGCCCTGAAAACTGTTCTCTGTTCACCACCCGTCCTACGCATCACTGACCAACATCGCCCCTTCGAGGTTGTTACAGACGCGAGCGACATTGCCATCGGAGCCGTACTGTTACAGGACTTCGGCAACGGCCTCCAACCCATCGCCTACGAATCACGCAAACTACATCCCCCTGAGCGAAATTACCCGATACACGACCGCGAAATGCTCGCGATCGTGCATGCATTCAAAGTGTGGCGCTGCTACTTGACCGGCGCATACGTAACAGTACGGACAGACCATCGATCCCTACAGTACCTCCGTGCACAGCCCCACCTCAACCCACGACAGATTCGGTGGCTCGACTTCCTCGAGTCGAACTTCCATTATACGGTCACCTATAAAAAAGGAGCCTCCAATATCGCCGACGCACTGACCCGCCCCACTGCCCAGATCCATGCGATACTACTCGCCCAGACCAGTCCGCTACTGACAGGACTAATTACCCACGGATATCAAACAGACCCATTCTTCACAGGAGGAAACTCGCAGCAATTCGCAGCAGCCAAGGGAGTCTATTACGTAAAAGCTGGAACCGACCGCATCTGGGTACCAGGGTACACACTACTACGGGAATTACTGTTACAGGAGGCACACGACGGAGTTACCTCGGGACATTTCGGAGTAGAGAAAACACGGCAGCAGCTGCAGCGGTACTATTAATGGCCTGAAATGTTGACCGACGTGCAACGACACGTGGCATCGTGTCCCACTTGCCAGCTCATGAAGTCAACCAGAAAGCGGCCGGCGGGACAATTACAACCAATCCCACCTCCAGAGCGTGCTTGGCAACAAGTGACGATGGACTTCGTCACGGGGTTACCAGCCGGGGCGAGTGGGAATGACGCGATCCTGGTCGTCGTCGATCGACTGACGAAAATGGCACACTTCGCAGCCTGCAAGAAAACAATCACAGCTGAGGAAACAGCCCGACTCTTCATCACCACCGTCGTTCGACTGCACGGGATACCAGCATCGATCATCAGCGACTGAGACACGAAGTTTACCAGCAATTTCTGGCGGAACCTGTGGCAGCAGTTCGGCACGCGACTACAATTCAGTTCATCGTATCACCCCGAAACCGACGGACAGACAGAACGGACAAACCAGACCATGGAGCAGCTCATTAGGGCCACGTGCGACGACCCAAACACGTGGGAGCAGCAGTTGCCACTCATCGAATTCGCATACAACAACGCGCCATCTGCCACGACCCAACAGTCGCCGTTTTACCTGAATTACGGACAAAACCCCACAGTACCCATGACCCCAAATCCCGACAACCCCGTTCCACGTGCGCAACAATTTGCCGAGATTTTGCAAGCAGCACTGACCAGGGCAGCAGAAGCAATAAAAAAATCGAACATCATCGCTAAACGCAACGCCGACCGCCACCGCAGACCTGTCACTTATCAGCCCGACGACCTCGTTTTACTCGACACTCAAAACCTCCGCCTGCCCATCACTCCAAAACTTCGCCCCCGATACTGTGGGTCATTTCGAATTAGCCACATGATCACACCTGTCACCGCGCACCTCCTCCTCCCTGCTGATTGGTACGTCAGCCCCTCGCTCCACGTCAGCTTGCTTTGCCCTTATGTACCATCCACCGGCCAACTCCCACGACACCGACCATCCAGCATGGCACGACCACCATCCGAACCAATCATCACTCCCGACAAAACCCTGAGTCACAGAGTTCGCGACCCCCGAGGAGCTCGAAAGATCGAGTTCCTGATCCGCTGGAAAGACCGTACACCTACCGAGGACAACTGGGTTCCCCTGGACAGAATTGAAAACCACCCTGTCCTCACCGAATATCTGCGCAGCCGAAACTTCAAAGATGTCCACACACTTTCGTAAGAAGGACCTCCTTAGGAGGGGCGGGGTAGTGTTAGGAAAATCCCTTTTCCTTACTTCGCATCCCTGCTCAACGCGTACATCACTGTAGCCCCTCAGTCAGCACCGTTACCACTCGCGATCATCGCATCGACAATCATCCCGCCATTTTTCGCACATCGCATCCCGACCTCACGGCTCGGCTGGTAACCCGCGCTCCGGGCCTACGCCTCGACACTTTCCCAACCTCAGTCCCAGGCTCGTCGCGCGACTACCACAGACCATTACCGTTACCACTGTAGTTTCGCTATATATTCTTCGCTCACGCCCTCGCTCATTGTATTCTTGCTTCGATAGTGCAATTCTCGTTCGTTCACTCAATTGCACTCGTAACACTAACCAAGTCATCTTTATTCGCACGTTTTTTATGTCGATGATCGGACCCTTATTAGCGAATCTTCGTCCTTCCCCTCCTCGGTCGTGCCGTTTTCCTCCAAAAACGGCTCTTCAGCACGCTCCCCGTCAGAAACAGCAACCTCTCAATTCACGCCGTCTTTCACGGTCCGAAGCTCCGTAGTTCCTGCGCCGCACTTCCGCGCCGCGGCACCCCGGTTCCCCGTTTCCCCCGATTTCCAGTTTCCGAGATCCCCCGGTTCCCCCGGTCCGCTTCTTCCGCGCGCCATGTCTTCCGCCAAGGCCGCTGGATCTCTGCTCCGCTTCATCCCGCCGTCGTACCTTCCGCAGCGGATGGATGTACGGAGCGCCGTTACATGGGGAACGACAGGAGTCGTCGGCGCGCTGTGGCTGATTCAGGTGCGACGGTCAGGTCCTGTCCGCGATATAGGACCACTGCATTGTGCCGTTAAAGCCCGTTACAATATACCAATCTAGAAAGTGGCGACTGTAGTCATCGGCGCGCTGTGGCTAGTTCAAAATATGCAGCGACCGCGATCGCGAACGGATCCCGGCCCTTGAGAGCGTGCAACAAATTTAGTGGCATCGTGGTTGCTGTTCCGCAACTATCCCTTTCACCCTTGTGCGGCTCAGCTATAACCGCCGCTTGCTGTTTTCTTCTGGGTTTTCCACCCTCGATACTCGATTTAGGGACGTAGTGGATGTAGCGTGGCAGCGAGCGCTTTTGCTCTAGCGTGGCTCAGCGATCTCAGCCTTTCTTTCGTCTGAGTTTTCCTCCCTTGAAACAATGAGGACCCTCAGCTCTCGATTTAGGGAGGGACGTAGTGGATGTAGCTTGGCAGCCAGCGCTTTCCCTCTAGCGTGACTCAGCGATCACCACCCTTTGCTGCTTTTCTCTGTTTTCTTTCAACCTTGGAGGCGTCTCTTCCTGACAACTTTCCTCGTCTCTTATTTCTCTTTACCCCCTCCCCTGCCCCGTTGCTGGGTGCAGCCCTTCGGTTGGATCAAGGACCAGGTCTTCCCTCCCAAGGAGTCCTCCTAGTCTGCCGAATCCTGACAGGTTGCTTGCCGTTGATAGTATGACCTTCCGTTTTGAGTTGGTTTTGATTCGATGGAAATGTTTCAGCAGAAGGTGCATGCATGGTTGTCTACCAATGTCCTAGCTTCCAGTTTCACATCCATTCAGAGTAACTAAGGTTTTTTTTCCTACCGGTACGTTGGGTCTGATGAGACATCCATAGAGGCGGAATGCATGGAAGTGCCGTGCCGTGTGAGAGGCAACCTTGTTAGATTATGTGCTTCCCGACTTCCAAAAACCTTGTCTAAGTTTTCTGGAACATGTGTTAGTTCGAGAAGTGTTACACAGTCTTCATGTACTGTTATCGAGATCGAGGATGAGCCGGAACTCTTCAGAAATGGTGGGTTGGTGGAGCGTAACGTCAAGAGGCCTGACGGTACATTTCGGCCATTGTTGCAGGCACATTCAGAAAAAATGTACCGTGCTGACACATTTTACTTTCTTTTTTCTGCCCCGATCACTCAACCTCCCGCCAAATCGCACTGGTCTCCATTCAACACATGTCCATTATGTGCCGCAGATATTTCACGATGTCAAGATCCAGCCGTCGATATATGCCGCTCGAATCTACTTCCTTCCACGTCCGAACCGAAGCGCTAAGACGAATCGCGGATGCAACCTGCAAAGCCACTCTTTTGTCGTACTGTACACCAGTTCCAAGTTTCCCTCTCCCCGCCCCAAACCCCCTCGCCACGTCTCCCTCCCAATCACATCACAGCATTCCAGCCCTGCCCTCACCCTCTTACTCTCCTACCAACCTCTTCTTCCCCGACCCACATTATCTAACCTGCACCACACTAAACCACGCTTATACACACTTTTACCACACCGTATTACTTTTTGACCTAGCTTCACCTTTTGCTGTCGTAACCAACGCCTCGTTGGTCTCTCACGGGCAACAGGCTGTGCTTTCTGATCAGCATGTTTTCTGGACCGTGTCTCACAGAAATGCCGGTGCGGACAGAAATATGACTGACTGCGCGCGCGACCATAACTGACCCGTTCCACTCCACCACTAGCGGCCAGCCACCTTATTCAACGATTTTCGATATGTTCAAAAGTCGACAGCACGTGCAAGAAGCTAATAACATTTCCGTCAAGATAACCACGTCTTTCAACGGCCTAAAACTCAAACAGCCACCTCGTCCCGTGAACCCACGCAGCAACAATTCCGGCGCTTCATAGAACTTAACCACGCATAACTAGAAACCGCGACAAAACTCGTTTCGCTTCGACAAACACACCAGCCACGTAGTTAACCATTGACGTAAGGAGCGACTAGTATGAAGAGGCGAGGAGCGACCCGCCACGCCGGGATAACAGTCTTGGCTCTCCTCCTGTTAGGGCTCGCCACGTGTCGTTCACAGCCGGAGGACGACGAAGCACTGACAGGTCAGCCTGCGGCTCTTCCCGATGACATAGAAGTTGCAGACGCTTCCAGCGGCGCAGTCGGCGGCGGAAGCGGCGGAGGCGGCGGGATAGGCGGAGACGGCGCAGACACGTATTCGGACGATTGGGAGGATCCGCTTCCCGGCGACCACCCTAACGGGGATGACACGATAGTAGACACGTCAGATGACGTCGAAGCGGACGTTCCGCCGGGAAATGCGGCGAGCCGTGGCGTTATTCCGGGTAACCGCAAACCAGGCGATTTGGTGCCGGGGGAAGAGGAAGGGGAGGCGGAGGGGGGAGCGGGGAGGGGAGTGAAGGGGGGAGCGGAGATGGGAGTGAGGGCGCAAGCGGAGGGGGAAGCGGAAGGGGGGGGAGCGGAGGAGTGGGAGGTGCAAGAAGAAGCGGCGGAGGAGGAGCCGGAAAACCCGTGGATTGAAAACGGGAGGGGGGAAGGCTCTTCCGCCGTTGTGGCGCAAGCGCAGGACTACCAGCCGGGCGGGGAGGATGGATTTGCGAAAGGGCTGAGCGGAAAGGCGGAGGCGCAAGCGCAGGACGATCAGACGGGCGGGGGAAATGGTTTTGCGGAAGGGCAGAACGGAAAGGAGGAGGCGAAAGAGGAGCCGAGCAGCGATTGGCCGGCGGGGGAAGCGGGGGAAAGCGCGGAACAGGAGGTCGGGGACGAGAGTGAGAGTGGCACTGCGACTATCCAGGAAGCTGATAACGGGTATGGCGACACGGGCGGGACGTATGAGCGGAATGTGCCGGCGCAGGGGGGTGGGGGCGCGGAACAGCCCGCGCAAGGGGAGGCCTGGACCTTCGAGGAGGATCAACCAGGGCAAGGCGGGCGGGAGCAAGGGGGGGCGATGGGGGGACAGGTGGGGGGGGGAGAGCCCGGGGAAGGGGAAGGGGAAGGAGGAGCGGGAGATGAGAGGGGGGACAATAGCGATTACTTTTTTCACGGGCAGGACCCAGATGAGGAGGAATGGCAGAAGCGGAAGCACAACTGGCAAAATGCGGGTCCAAATAGTGACTCTAACGACCCTAACGCTGCTGATGACGCTAACGGGCCTAGTGACTATAACGAAGCAGAGCAGACACAAACTTCTGGGAACCCCGCGGATGCTAACCCTAATGATGGGAATCCCGATGACGAGCTGTTTTCTGACAACAATCCGTCTAGTTCTGACGAAGCATTTCCTGACAGCAGCAATCCCGCCGCTCAGGACGCTGCTGCAGTTAAGACGGCAGACTCAGCTACCACTGGATCAGGCTCGGAAGGATCCGAACCTGCAGCTCTGGCGAGTAACAGTTACTCTGAAGGTTACCAGAAGATGGCTGGCGGGCAGATCAGCGCGGAGGGCATCTTAGGGATCGTGCTGGGTGAGTGATAACTCAGTTTTCTGTCCGCTGCTGGTCTTTGTGTGTTGGTCAGTTTGTGCTTCCGCGTACGTCTCAAAACTCGATTGGCGCGGAGGGCATCATAAGGATCATGCTGGTTGACTGATAGGTCGATGCAATGTCTCTTATTGGTCTGTATGTGCTGGTCTATGTATTCGTCATTGCCCTTCTGACCTCTACCCACATCAACCCCATCCCTTTCCAGGAGTGACTCTGGGTGCTGGCCTATGTCTTCTGGTAGTCTGTGTGTGCTGGGTGCGGCAACGGAACATCAACCGGGCCAAAGAGTATGTGTCTGCCTGTACCTTGATATTCTCTCACTCCTATGTTAACGTTTCTGGCACTCTCACCACACGTGCTGTTATCACATTCTTTTGCACCGATGCTGAACTGTCATTTTCTCCTCCCATTCCTTCCACACCGTCTTTCTCACACTGTCGTTTATGCCAGCCACCGTCTCTCCTTTGTTTTTAAGCCATCTCAACCCATACTCATCTCCTCTAGCTCCCCCCTGTCTTCCCCGTTTCTCGCAGGTCTGAAGCCATGACAGAATACGTTGATGACAGCAGCGAGGAAGAGGATGAGGAGGGGTTGGAGGAAGCAGCAGACACAGCGCTCATGGGAGGGATAGTGGGAGCACACAGAGCCCTGGATATTGAGGCACAACAGGCATTGAAGTCCTCCAAGCATTGATGTTGGTCGGCGTTGAGGGCTTTAGTGACTGATTCGCTGAAGGAAGCAGCAGAAACAGCGCTGATGGGCGGGATAGTGGGAGCACATAAAGCCGTGGATATTGAAGCACAGCAGGCATTAAAGTCCTCCAAGTGTTGATGTTGGGTTGGGTTGGGTTGGCTTGGCTTGGCTTGGCTAATCGTTTCAGTGACTAATTGATGGAGCAGGTCTTCCATATGCATCTCTAGCATGTGCAATGGTGTAATTTAGGTTAAATGCTAGCTGACGTAGTTTAGTATTAGTAGGTAGAAGTATCCAACTAGTTGGTGATTCGATGTACACCCTCTTTCTCGCCATTGTGAGTTCGGTTATAGTGAAGTCAAGATGGGAAAAGCACGGTTAACGGTGGTTAGATTAAGTCTAGGTATGGTTCAATCAGACAAATCGAAGGTAACTAGGTTTTCCATCAGTTCAGCATCAGTGTAATGAGAAAGAGGGTGTATGGTGTCAACTCTTGCTATTTACGGTAATGTTATGGGTTGGGCACCATCCCATTTTGCAATGCACGCTAGAGAAGACAACTGGGAATCCAAATGAGGGTGAAAGAGCAATAGTCATCATATAAGGGCGTGTTCCTACGGCCCCTTATCAGGCGAACCTCTTGTCAGATTCGCGTCGCAACGCACTGGAACACATGTAATAACATTCGATCGCACTAAAACGCATGGAACCGCACAAGTATGACAAGAGGTCGGCTGATAAGGGGCCGTAGGAACACGCCATAATAAACCCACCATAACAGGAAATTAGCAGCGCCAAAGTTCAAATCCTGCTGTTTAACGAATAGCTATAAACAATTGAAACCAGTTTCACGGCCATCTCCATTTTAAATGACGGAAAGCGGGTACTTGTACTGCTTCGCGCTCACTCCAGCCAGCAACCTCTTGTCAACGATCCACGAGTGCACGTGCTCCAAAAACGTCTTCCCTTCAGGCCTGAATTTCCTCGGAACGTACGTCGCTGCAGCATTCGCGTCGTAGCTCTCAATAGGCCGGGCCATGGCGAGTCCCGGGGTGTGCGCGAGCCCTGCGAAATACGCTTCCGCCATGAACGCTACTGGCGCTTCGGCTCCGTCGTTCTCCTGCTTCAGATTTGCAAATCTGTCGCCAAGACCGGCGGCGTATTTCTCGCTCATAACAAGATCCGAGAGCATCAACGGACAGCGCATGTAGTGTCCCCGGTCAGTCCCCTCGAGAACATCTAGAGCAGCAACTGCTTTCGCGTTCACTTCGTACACTTCACCCTGAACCCTGTGACCGCTGCCAGGCAGATGGAGCAGGAACGGCACCTGAAACGGACCGCAAACGAGCGGAAAGTTCTGTAGCGTTTGAGCGGTCCCGATTTTAACGGCGTCGCCATCGGCCATAAGTTTCTGCATAAGCCAGTGATTCCCGAATCCCTTCTTCAGGGTGCCGTACACGAACGCCAGCGAATAACCTTCGCGAGGAAACGGCAAATCGCCGCTGACTTCGTTGGCTTCCCCGAAGTCAAGGGGAATCGCCGGCGACGTCGCCGGAAGGTACGAGCTCCTGCTTGCGACTTCCAGGTCGGTCTGCGACTGGCTGTGCGACAGCGCGGTCAGGCAGGGAGAGGACGCGGAGGTACGCAGCTGCGCGGATGACGTCATGCGGACAGGAGAAGAAGATACACAGAGCTTCTCCTGAGAGGAGACGACATGGCCTGATGAGAGGCGGCTGGATGATGCTGCAGCCGAGCAGGCAAGAATAGAGGCCATCCCAATCCGAAAACGAATCTGGAAGCAGGGTCACGAGAGAGAGAATAGGAATTTTAACAACGATGAGGAGGATGAGGAGGATGGTGACATGCCGAACACATCAAGAAGGTGAAAACGGGTCGAAGGAAGAGACACTACCGATGCTGCCGATAATAGCTAACAAAGCAGCATCGTGGCTACATTCTTGCTAGTAACATGATGGGACGGACAGGGCGGGAGCGCTCTAGCTATTGTACGAAGAAGCAACGACAGGAACAAATCTGAAATCCGACCTGCTCAGACGAGAGACTGCGTCAGCGCTCGAGGAGGAACGAGAGCACAAACCCCGGCAGAGCTGGGGACGGGCGCTCACACCTCACGAGAAGCAGCAGAGCAGAACACGCAGAGAAGACTAAGATAAGGTAATGAGTGGATTGGATGACAGAGAATTCGTCACAGAAGTGGAGTATTTGTAGGAGCAAGAAACTGGAGAGAGCGGGGATGAGAGCGGGCGGGAGACATGGGTAAGAAGGGGGGATTTACCTTGGCGGAAGAAGGGGGGAGGGGGATTCCTTTCACAGACGAAGTGGAAATTGAGGGAACGCGTAGACGAATCTAGATGAGAAGGGGGAGAGGGGAGGGGCGGAAATGTGGAACGAGCGAATTCGTCCTGCTTCGCTGGCACTGGTAACCCTTCCAGAAGGTTTCGAACGTCATTCCGCGGAGAAACGGTGAAGGCAGGGAAGTTCGGCGGCAATCCCTGAGCGCCCCTTACCCTCAACCACCTCGAAGCGGTGGGTGGGTTGTCCTGAGCGTAGCCACAGGCTTTTCTGGAGCGCGTGTGATGTCATGCATGTCATGTCACGCCTGCACGCTTGTGAGGACGAGAGTGGCGGGATTTCTGGAACAGCGAGTGCACGAATCAGCTTCCACGGCTTTTGCGGCTCTTGGAGATAAATGGAGTCAGCATATCCTTCGTAATCAAACAAGAGCCGCGTGATTCCAGTGAGACGTGGCGCCAAGTCAGCGGGAAAGGTATCCAGCGTCACACCGAATGGGGACCGTGGAATGAACGACCTTAGGGGCCCACGTGCTTGCCAGATATCGTCACCTGCCAACAAAATGTCCTCGTCATCAGTTTGCTCAACAATGTTCGACGCAATATTGACAGTGATGATATTACTGTGCAGACCGGGGCTTTATATCTCAAATAGCCAGCCATGAAGTTAATTTTAGGTATAATCAGACTCTTCAAGTGTCTTGCCACCATTTACGTGGTACAATCTTGGCTTCATCATCAAAGTTCAATTTCAACTATTCGCTACAAGAAAAACATATGGTGTTTCATCACCCTACTTCTTCTCTTCATACTCCGCCTCCTGTGCTCCTCCAGTTGACCCCGCTCCAGAAGAGGTCGAGCTGCTGCCGCCGCCCGCTTGCCTAGAGATAGCCTCTCCGATCTTGAGAGAGGCCTGCTGGGCGGCGGAGATCTTCTCCCGGATCTCCTCCAAATTCTCCTTCTCCAACGACCCCTTGAGATCAGCAATGGCCGCTTGCACTGCCTCCACCACGTCCTGAGAATCGGGAACAGACAAGAACAGACAGCACATGAACAAAAGACAATGGGAATAAGACTCCTTTGAAGCATGGCGCGCTGGGGCATGGCACGCTAGGGCATGGCACGCAAGGGCATGGCACGCTAGGGCATGGCACGCCGGGGCATGGCACACCGGGGCATGGCCTGCCGGGGCATGGCCTGCCGGGGCATGGCCTGCTGGGGCATGGCCTGCTGGGGCATGGCCTGCTGGGGCATGGCCTGCTGGGGCATGGCCTGCTGGGGCATGGCACGTCCTCCTTGTGCTCGATCAAGTATCGCTCGACAGAGTACATGGTCGTGTCCTCATCGTTCCAGGCCCATATCAACAGCACCATTTTACATGCCCACCACATCTCACCACCACATCCTTGTGCTCGATCAAGGATCACTCGACAGAGTACGTGGTCGTGTCCTCATCGTTCCAGGCCCATATCAACAGCACCATTTTACATGCCCACCACATCTCACCACCACATCCTTGTGCTCGATCAAGTATCGCTCGACAGAGTACATGGTCGTGTCCTCATCGTTCCTGGCCCCGATCAGCACAGCACCATTTTACATGCCCACCACATCTCACCACCACACCCTTGTGCTCGTTCAAGGATCACTCGACAGAGTACATGGTCGTGTCCTCATCGTTCCCAGCCCCGATCAGCACCCTGTTACATGCCCACCACATCTCACAACCCAGGGAAACCTGAGACTCTGCACTTACGCTTGGCAGCTTCTCCTTGTGCTCGTTCGACGACCGCTCCACAGAGTACATGGTGGTGTCCGCGTCGTTCCTCGCCTAGATCAGTGCCTTCCTCTATGGCCTCACGTATCCCCCCACATCACATGGAACACTGGGACAAGGAATAATGGGACTCACGCTAGGCAGCTTCTCCTTGTGCTCGTTGAGTGATCGCTCGACAGAGTACATGGTGGTGTCCGCGTCGTTCCTCGCCTCGATCAGCGCCTTCCTCTCCTTGTCCTTGCCTGCGTACTGCTCCGCCTCCCTCACCATGCGATCAATGTCCGAGTCCGACAGACCGCCTGATGACTGCATCGTCAAAAGGGAGGTTTCAAAATGAGGGATATTGATAAGCAAAGGTGAGACGCGTCTCCTCTCCATGCCCTTGTCCACATCCGCTATACTGGAGTCACTGTCAAGAAACCTCAAACGCGGCTCCACCTCCTTCACCATGCAATCAATGCCCTAACAACCCCCCTGGGGTTTGCACATGATGGTATGGTGTAGGAAGGAGTTGGTTAAAATGGACTGAAAGAAACCCTATTCCTCCCTCCCCTCCCCTCCTCAACCCAATCCCTTCCCTCCTCTCCTCTGCCCCTCTCCCTCACCTGAATCGTGATGGCTTGCTCCTTGTTGGTGGCCTTGTCCTTGGCGCCCACATGCACGATGCCGTTGGCATCAATGTCAAACGTCACTTCGATCTGCGGCATGCCTCGGGGCGCGGGGGGGATGCCGACGAGGTCGAACTGCCCCAGCAGCTTGTTGTCTGCCGCCATCTCCCTCTCGCCCTGCAGCACCTTGATTCCCACCTGCGTCTGCCCGTCTGCTGCCGTGGAGAACACCTGAAACCGGAGGGGAGAGCGGGGCGAAATCGGGGCGAAAATGGGGCAGAAAACCGGGGAGAAAAGAGGGTG